ATTATCCTAACCCCCATATTGAGTAATAATAAGAAGACTTGAATGTGAAGTAGAACCTGTATTCTACAAGCATCCAGAAAGTACGAGGTCCGAATCCAGAAGAGAATCAGGATCTCGGACTAGGGATCCGGGACCGGGTCCTGGTCCTAGTCATAAAACGTTACAGATAATGTATATCTATACATTATGGTCGAATAGGAAGCAGCATCGAAATCTGTGACATTGAAAGTTAACACGACCAATAAGAAGCAACATTTGGAGTGACACTAATAGTCAGGAAAACCAATACGAAACAACATTGGAGCACGTGACATTGATATCTAGGACGACCATAAAATTGACCACTAGGAATTAACCAATAGGAATTGACCAGTGATTCTCTCAGGATATTGGATAAATATCCTAACATTTATTGATGTCCTTCTTAAGTTTTCAGTTTGATTAGAGAGGATTCCTCAAAATGTTTACACATTTTAATCTCAAGCTCTACAAAAACTGGTAGGTGTTGACTACCTGGTTGGGGCCAGCGAGGTGATAGTAATCGATGGTTAAACACCCTGAATGACATGGCCCAAAACCATTTGCAACGGAGCAGGTGCATTTATTGATTGTGTTCTCTCAAATTCTAACCTTATGTATTCTTGACCACATTTATCTTCTTAAGTTTATTTCACTAGATTCTACTTTTTGGGTAATATCTTCAAACCCCAATCTCTTCGATGACTTCTAACACTTTCACAGCTTCTACTACTATGGGATTTGAATTGACAATTGCATCTCAGTGCTAACGTGGTATGGTAACTTGAACTGATGTACGTACGTAGGAAGTTCTGTGTTGTTGTTGACCAACTGTTGACTGACAAAAACTGTCCATGATCAGAGGTGATTAGTTTACTCTATTGAGAACTAATCATACTTCAAGAAATTTCTTGTTTAACTAATATCAACTCCATAGTTTACACTACGAACTGATTCCAGTTGAACAATCATTGGAGACGAGGAATCATTGAACAGTTGTTTCATCATCGGATAGATAACGTCAGCAGTGGAGATCGCACACCAGGTCCTGTTTCACAGGCATATTCTGACGTTATTTTTTCTGGCTAACTGATTCATAACCGAAATGAATGAGTTCCTTTAGTCACAGCGTCTCCACAGAACTCTGTGAAATTAGTCACTAGCTAGCTCAATATTTGTGTACGTAGGTTGGGGGGTTTGTGAAGATAGTTGAATTTTGTATCAGTTCATATATATAATCCCTAAATACCTCAATGAAAATATGTTTATTCCTATAATTTTTGTACTAATATGTGAACACATGGCTGATTTATCCAAATGTTAGATACTTACAAGGAGTTTTCTATTAAGGTGACTTTACAGTTTAATAACATATTTGTTGGCATTTATCAGTAAGATGTTTTTGAGAATACAATGCTTCAATCGATCAAAATTCAGCAACCTCTACCTTTATGGTGTGATATAACTTTATAACTATGAACAGGGGTTGATTATTCGATGTTAAAGAGTCATCTCGTTATAATCCTCGTTCATAGACATGAATGTTATAGACTAGTAAGTTACATTTCCACTGCCTTCAGTCATCCCATCATCACTTAACTACATTGGAGAAATATTATTCGACAATCTAGTGTTCAGTCGATAAAGCTACACGAGAATTTAAGATTTGAAATGTTTGCAGCAGTTACGAGTTCACCTTACTCGATAAACGGAACAAAGATTAGTGATTCAGCGATACGATAGGCTATTCTAATCCAATTGTCTCAGGTCCCGTTGACTAAAGAAGGAAGTCTTGATAAGACGTTGAGAGAATGTATTCTCAAGCACTCAGAAAGTAGGAGGTCCATAAGCACACAATTCAAGCTTATTTATACAACCATAAAACGCCTTTGGTGAGAACCACAAAATAGCATATTAAAATAATCCATCAACCAATAACAGTCAAGGATTTTCCGAGTAAGCTGAAGGTCAACTAAGCATAATTGGAGCAAAAACTTAAAAAATTCAAAATTTCAGGAATAAATTACGAAATTAGAACCTTTACCAAGTGAATTCTAGGGATCTAACGTCCACAGCATTTTGTATCTATGAAGAGGGGTTGATTGTTCAATATGAAAGAGTCATCTTGTTATGATCATCGTTCATAAACATGAATGTTATAGATTAGTAGTTTTATTTCCACTGCCTTCAATCATCCCAAATGCAATTTAATCCATTGGAGAAATATTCATTGACAATCTAGTGTTCAGCCGATCGATAATCCTACACAAGTATTTAAGATTTGATTCATGTAAAAAAAGTTTATGTACAACTCAGTTTATGCAATCTACCACAACAAATGATCGATTTATTAATGATGGTCAACGACCTCTTTTTTTGAGATGTTTATGAAATGATCCATATTTTCAGTGTAGTATTGTGGTGCGAGCTACTTATAAGTAGTATATGACGTGAGTGAAAACGTAATGTCTGGCAGCAGCAGATGGGGGAAGATCAAGAAAGGAAGAGTGGGAACACAATGGAATTTGTATGAAACGCATGAACAGTGAAATGTCAGACAATGAATTGATGTTTTGCAACAGGAACAGTCCAGTTCGATATGATGGACTGGTATTTTGCAAATGAACGATTTACGATATGGTTTTCCAATTTTACTGAGTAACTCTGTAATTTTCGTTAAATACAATTCGGTTGCCCCACCTTTGTTCTCGTTCACTACAGTATTATTGTTCTTGAATATTAAATATAACCTTATACTTATAAGCAATAAAGCAGAAAGTTTTGGGGTTCACTATCGTATAAACTCACAGCTTTAAACTATTCGTAAATGACAAAATCTTAAACCTGGAATAAATTAACCATACATATAAATATCAATTTGTATAAACAAATTGAAGTGGTTCTTGTTCTAACCAGAGACGAATATATTTGAGATGAAGCGGTGAAAAGGAGCTACTGGAGTTTTATTCTACAATGAATGAATGAATAACTACGTACATATTTCATTACGGAGTAGTGAAGATTGTTAAGTTACACATTTGAAGTTATTCATTGACAATGTTAGATACCGGCTCAGTGGTCCAAAGGCTAGGCGTTTGCGCGTAAGATCGAAAGTCCTGGGTGGGAATCCTGAGAGGCGCAGGAGTTGTGGATGAGCAGTGCTGATGAGTCTCATACCAGGACTTGACCGCCGTCTTTCAGTGCTTCCAAGCTTCTAATGGTGGTCTAACATTGATCGATTCATGATTTCAAATGTGTACTACATATTTATTTTAGTTTAGTTTATTAAATACCTAGTTTATGATGATATTTTCCTCTATAGAGTTCGAATGATAAACTATCATTTGATAGTCCGGCGCTCTTGTAGTACAGATGTTTTACTATCCCTCAATTATTGACTCATAGATTGCCTTGATTGGTTTAACATTTTCATTAAAGTTGAAGCCTGATGACGACCTAATTAAAAATGACAGTTTTGTTCACTTATTATCTGTCTGTGTTGTTCTAATATTCTTTTATTGTAATTAGGCGGATCTGTAAGAAAGCACTTCCGGAATTCTTTTATGTAACATTAAAGCTTTCAAATAACCCCCATTCGATTTTATTCAACACAAGCGCACTTCTGATGAGCCCCATACCAGGACGAAACGGTCATCCAGTGCATTCAGGTTTCTAATGGTCGTCTAACAATGATCGATTCATGATTTTAGTAATAAACACCAGTTTCCAAAACTCTATACTGAAAAATCATACAATGTGCTCACTAGTGACTAGATTCTTGAGGAAATTCTCGGGATTCTAGTAAGAAAATATAATCAGTAGAGTCCAACCCTGCCGGGTGTAAGCAGTAACTACAGAAGAGGATGTGTGAGGTTGTGCGAAAATCCTTAGATTGATTAGAGTCAGAAACCGTTCAGTGCCAGCTCATTGATCCAATGGTTAGGCAGGCGTTTGTGCGCATAATCGAAGTTCTTGGGTTCGAATCCTGTGAGGTGCAGAAGTCGTGAACGCGCACTGTTGATGAGTTCCATACTAGGATGAAACGACCGTTCAGTGCTTCTAGGTTTCTAGTATGGTGATCTAACACTAGTCGATTCATAATTTCAGCAATAAACAACAATCGCCATATCACTCCGCATAACGCAAAAACAAGCTTTTTTCTTCTTCAATATTTTCAATATTTTGAATTTTAGATGAAAAGTTTTTCAATTAAAAATAAAAAAAAGTAAATAAAAAAAAATGGGGAGCGAGAGGGGAAGAGAGGCATAAAACTAAGATTGTCGTCTTTTGTAAAAATCAGTGAAAAAAAATAAAAAATAAAACAAAATTAAAAAAAATTAAAACACACCAGATAATTAATTCGATTTATGTACACAAAAAAGCAAGCAAATGATGTGAAGCAACAACTATCAATCAATCAATCAATCAATGTAAAACTCCACAGTGAAAACATTGATTACATCTATCTATCACCAGCGAGTAGTTAGTAGTGATCATTGATTGATTTAAAACAAACGAAATTCATTCAATAATCAACATGGGGGGGATATTGTAATTTAATTGAACCATTCAGTTGGTTAGTTGCAAATTGACGCAGTCAGTTGAGGCAAAATGGTAAAGGCATTCATTCTCTTTATGTACGTGTGTGTTGGTAGATAGATATACAATACACCAGATCACACCCTGTGGATTGATTGCAATGCTTCGCGGTGATAAGCAACAAATAGGACATTTCTTCGCGGGAAAACATTTCAATCAAATATCGCTGATAATAGAGTCATTACAGATGATTAATGATGACAATCGTGTTCAGTGTACCAATTCCGCTAAATATCAATCATCAGCATCATGATGATGAACTGGTCTAAGGATTTTTCCAATTATAGACATCGAAATAGATAGATAGACAGATAGATAGATCGATCGAAAGAAAGTGTATACATACATTAAAATATAAGAATAATCATTGGAAAAAAAAACTATTATTTTTCAACAGATGTTGAAATCACTGTCACTGAACCACTGGATATTGTGGAAGCATGTGAACTCATTCGACTAACTGGTGTACCACCACTACTACTACTACTACCACCACTACTAACATTACTACTAACACGACCAACAGTTGGTCGATGTGTATCATGCATACAACGTGTCATATTATGCATTAAATTCTCCATATTCTCATGATATGATGTAGCATAGCCAACATCGGAACTACTACTCAATGAAGTCGGTGATGGTGACGGTGACGATGATGATGATATGTAAGAAGAAGATGAGATGGAGTCGTTGGTAGAGTGCACCGATGCAGTCAATGGAGTTTGTGATGTAGGATGATTCAATCGTTTATTATTATTATTATTACTGTTGTTATCTTCATCATCATGAGCTAGCGATAACGACTGACATGTTGTAATGAGTTTTTGTGTTGGCTTCTGTTTCCTTGCATTATTAGTTAGATAATGTTGTGTATTCAACTCGGGTCGATATACCACTGGACATGGAATTCCTGTAATCGATTCAACAAGATCATTAGTGATTTTCTGCGGATGTTTACGTGTGAAACATTGTGCTGCTGATGATGATGAAGAGGAGGAATTCGAAGAATAAGATGATAATAATGAAGAATCTGTGGATATCATACTCATATCACTGCCTGATCGTGGCATACTAGCAGTGTTAGTGGCGGAGGTATGATTAGGATTACTAGTATTATTATTATTATTATTATTATTGTTGATGTTACGGGATCGATAATCTGTGGATGAGTGAATGGATCTGTTAGCTTTCATCAAATGACTATTCCTGTTATTAATAATATTACTGTTATTTGTAGTCACATGATCAGTAGTAGGGTTAGTTGAAGATGTTTTATGCGATTTCAAGGCAATATTCTCTCCGTTATTTGACGATACTGAAATAATTTTAATTGGTTTAGAAAATTCATTTGTTTTACCACTACCACTACTACTACTATTATTAATATCAGTAGCAGTAGTAGTAGTAGTAGCAGCAACAGGAGTTGTGGTGATCGGTGTACTAACACGATTCCTTATGTATAGATCATTGGCGTATGATTCATCAAATGATTGCATATAACTGAATTGATGTTCCATGGAATTTCGTCTTCTGTTAATAACGTTACCATGAGTATTATTATTATTATTACTATTATTAGTAGTATTAGTAGTAGTAGTAGTAGTAGTAGTAGCAGTATTATTAGTACGCGCATTCATATCCAATTCAGCATCGTGTCGCATTGTACAATAATCAAAATGCAGTAAATTAGCATCAGGCATTTCACCGGTCGATTTCTGTGGTCGAAATCTACGATGAAATAATCTTCGTTGTCGTGACATAAGCGATGCGGCGGTCGTAGTAGAAGTAGTAGTGGAAGCAGTCGTAGAGGCAGTAGTAATAGTAGTAGTAGTAGTAGCTGGCATTGTTGTTTCTTCACGTGCATAACTATTAGTATTGTTACTATGATGACTAATTGATTTTGACCGGTTAGAATTGGTCTTTGAGAAATTATGACTTTTATCATTATGATTATTATTGGCATGTTTTAAGCCAACATCTTGATGTGTTAATTGTTGACCTCTAAGCGGGATAGGCGGTGCTTCTGAATCAATTTGACTTCTTGGCAATGGACAAGGAATACTTAATTTATCATTAGAATTTATTGTTTTATTTGTACTTGGTGGACAAGATGTATTCCTTGAACGTCTAGATGACGATGCTGACGCTGCTGATGATGCCGCTGATGATGTTGTTGTAGTAGTTGTCTTCTTTAAAGCGTCTTCTTGTTTCTCTACCGCAGTTGTTAGACTCGTTGAATTGGTCGGTGTTGTAGCAGTCACAGAAAATGACAATGGTAATACAAAGGTTGATGTTGTTCGTGATCTTATAATATTTCTGAATTCTGTCGTAATAGAATCGGTTGATGATAAATTCTGATTAATTGGTCTATTCAACAATGTAACACTACACCGTGTAGTTCCAGTGGAAGTAGTAGTAGTAGTAGTAGTAGTAGGTGGTCCAGTTTGATCGGGCAATGCTGGTTGATTAAAAAAACTATGCTTTTTTCTATGTATCCGCCCGGCACCTCGTCGTTGCATTTTTGATGAATGTGTTTGTGAATTTTCCATATTTACTTGATACGTTGTAGATTTAGTGTTTATTGAATGGCTAGACGGCGGTGCAACATTATTGTTTAATACTGTTGATTCATTGTGATGTTGTTGTACTTGGTCACTGGTTTTCATCAATAAAGAATAACCAAATTTTTCATTGTTCAATAAATTTTCTACTTCTAATGAACTAGAATAAAAAAAGGAAGAGGGAAATTAGTGAAATAAAACAACACGATCAAAACTTACATTCATTAGTGAGATGAAATGAAAGTTGTTCGAAATGAATCATCACTAGTGAAACAGATTTTGATTTTATCAAAATATCATCTATCCAGTAGTCAATGAGCACTATGTAGTGTGTGTTTGTGTGTGTGTGTGTGTGTACTGACAGGTCGAGCCCACAGAGCTTGTCTCAGCCTACGGATCCATTCTCTACGATTTATTCACATACCTTTCGATCTCGTCAACTATTCTCTCATAACCTTGGTTGTTTTTATTCGTATATGTGTGTGTGGGCCACTTTCTTCGATTATTACATGTCTAGCCTGACTATAAATAGTTAGTCATAGTTCATCGCATTGAGTTGACTCGCTTGCTATCTCCACTTTGCTTCGCTTTAATTGTACGCTTTTTATTCTCACCCGTCTGATTAAATGAATCTATAAATTAAATTCATCTGACTGAAACCATGTATGGCTTCTTACTACCGCGGTCGCACAAACGGGTGTGTGCCTAAGTATGACATCCTGAAAATGGAAGGGAAGATTTATTTCATATATCATTTTTAGTTGTTCGCAAATATTGGAGTCAGACCGTCGGCCATTAAAGCTGTTCAGGGCACGAATTTCGCTTCCACTAAAACTAAAAAGACTAGATGAACATGATATTAGTCATTATTCAGTGATCGATCACTTGTAAATATATCTCATTCCTACAGATGATCTATGGTAACGTCTCACACACACTGTGAAGCTAGATGATACCGGATAGAATCTGTCAGTTAGACCTCACTAAGGAGTCCCAAACAGACAAAACTCATGTACATGGCTTCTAGATCCAGGTAGAACATTTTTTATTTCGATCAACTATATAAGAAAATCGATTTGTTGAGGAAGAAAATTATCTCCAGTTGTCATCAAGTTTGAACAATTTGATATTGAAGTAGTGATATTGAGTGATTAAATAATGTTCAATTTGTTATTAGAAATGTAGTTACTGAACAAATCTTTTTTTGAAAAAATGATTAATAATATTATTGCATTACGGAGTTGTGAAGTTTGTTAAGTTACACATTTGCAATCATCAATCGGTCAATTTTAGACCACCATTAGAAACCTGGAAACACTGGACAGCCGTTTCATCCTGGTATGGGATTCGTCAGCAGTGAGTATCCATGACTCCTGAACCTCGCAGGCTTCGAACCCAGGACCTTCGGTCTTGCGTGCTTGGTGGTCTAGAGATTAGGCGTTCGTGCGCAAGACAGAAGTTCCCGGGTTCGAATACTGCGAGGCGTAGGAGTCGTGCATGAGCAGTGCTCATGAGTCCTCTACTGATATTAACTATCATTGAAAATCAGGGCTCAATAATGAAATAGAGTTTACAGATTCTATTCTAGTGAATAGCTAGCTGACAGGCTTGAATTGTATAAACCGGGGGAAGAGATGACCAGTTATTCATTATTATACATAGGTTGCTGTCAATAAAATTAATGTCAACGAAAATAGGTTAAATATTATTCGAAATTATCTCATTTCCCTCCGTCAATTCATGTTTTTATTATTGTTTCTTGTTGTTGATATTGTTTGATACAATGAAACGCTGAATAAAGAGGAATTGTACATAATATATATATGTATATACACTATACACTAATGAATAGAACTTACTTTATCTGTGGTGGTATATCTTCGTATTCACAAATTCATACAGATAAATAAAAATGGAAAGTAGAGAAAAGAAATGCAAAGGAAATAAATCCATCACAGAGAATGAAAATATTGTACAAAATATAATACAAAATCATTCTTCTTCTTATTATTATTATTTTTGTGATTAGCTTTTAAAGTGCTAGTGAAGTAGTCAGTATAGGGTTGTGGAGATTGTTGAGTTTTGTTATAATCTTGAAATGACTAATGTTAGATCACCATTGAAAACCACGAAGCACTAGACAGTTGTTTCGTTCTAGTGTGTAACTAATCAACAGCTTGCATCCACAATCTCTAAATGACAGTCGAACCCGGGAGTTCCGGTTTGATGCACAAACGCTTAACTTCTTGACTACTTAGCTGGCATCCAAGGACATTCATGTGTAACTTCAATCAATCTAAGATATTGAGCGACTATCATCAACTGTGTTTGGTGAGTAAGTGCCTTGTGCATGAGACCGAAGCTCCTGAGTTCGGTTCCTGTCTCAGGGGTTGTGGATGAGCATTACTGATGAGTTGCATACTAAGACGAAACGTCTGTCTGTTGTTTTCAGGTTACCAATGGTAGTCTATCACCGATTACTATTGAAATTGTATAAGTGAACTTATTCATAGCAGCAGTCTTTGCAGCAGTAGGCCTCAACATACACAAGAGAATAAGCTGGATCCTCTGATACAACACAACGTGCACCAACCAAATCACACTTGATGGAGAAGTTTTGGAAGATGTAAAACCCTTTACCTATCTGGGGAGCCTCAGCGACGAGCTAGGTGGATCTGATACAGATGTGAAGGTGTGAATCGGCAAGACAAGGGTAGTATTTCTAAAACTGAACAACAATAGTCTCTTATAACTTCTCCATGACAATGTTGAATATATAGCACCGAATTGAAACAAAATAGTTTTCTATACACTTAACCACTTGATTAACATAAAATTTAAGCTATTTCACAGAATATCATTCGAATGTTTAGAATATTCACAAAACTTGGAAGGTTAAAAATTGAAAAACAATGCAAACATATGCACATAAAGTCGCTTGTTAATGAGACGATTACAGATAAGCTGTACTGTGAAAAAAACTTTAAAAATACCGAAGAAAATAATCATCATTAAACAATCATTGTTAAACCATCATTAGAAACCTGGAAGCATTGGACGGCCGTTTCGTCCTGGTATGGGACTTATCAGCAGTGCGCATCCATGATGCCTGCACCTCCCAGGATTCAAACCCATGACAATCGATCGGGCAAGATCTGTAGATTGAGCAGAGTTAGACGTCAGATGCCAGCTCAGTGGTCCAGAGGTTAGTCGTTTGTGCGTAAGACCGAAGGTCCTAGGTTCGAGTCTTGTGGGTTGCAGGTATCGCCGTAGCGTACGGCTGATGAATAGTGCCATACCAGGACTTGACGGCCATCCAGTACTTATAGGTTTCTAATAGTGTTCTAACTGACTGACGATTTCAATGTGTAAGAACACTAAACTCCGTAACTGTAATTGAAAGAAGTAACAACTATTCCACACTATTTCACTACTACCCTAGCAGTTTTACAGTCAACTTATTGATGATGTGAAAATCAAATTATAACAACATGATTTTTAGTGTTATCACTGCTCGAAACAATCAATTTGTTATCTATTTGTTTCCAAATAATTACAATCACGAACTAGTCCCAACAAGACCGCCATTGTAAACTTGGAAAAAGCAATGGACGAATGTTTCGTTTTCGTATGCAGTCTTTGATGCATTCCGCATCCACAACCCTGGATCCAAGATTCGAACCCGAAACTTTGGAAAAGTGAGTGATCACTAAGTCGCTACTGATGTTGTGCTTGCCTAGTTGTTAGTTTTAATCAACTTGAATGCTCTATGTTGTGATATCAGGTGGTTCGGAAACAGCTTTCGGTCAGTAGAATTCGATCAGAATCAGAAAATCAAGACAAACATAACATTGACGACTAATAAGTGACCAATACGGTCGTAAATATCTCCCAGTCACTTCTATGATAAATTCCTACACAAACAGACTATGCCATTGAGTTCATATCTCACTCTAAGCATTAGTTCTTTCACAAGTATACAGCTGCACACCCAGCTTATACTTACTTGCAACAGAATGTCCTCTTCGTGAAGTATGCTTTGTCGATATTTTCTGTTCAGATCGGACAGCAGAACTTTGTCTAGAACGTTTGTCATCCTCCTCATCCTGATCATCATCTGACGAATCAGTAGTAGTAGTAGTTGGTCTTAATGTAACAGCATTGTTTTGTATTCTTGTTTTACCATTCGAATCTTGCAAGAAATTACCCCAAATATTTGAAAAATGTTGATTTAATTCCATTTTGACATTACTTGTATTTAATAGGAAATTTGTAACTGTTGGTTCCAGCAGGTAAGTAACAATTTGTGTTACAATTTTAGAATCTTCTAATGCTAATGGTGAGTTGGGTCGTTGAATTAAATTTGGACCCCATACAACAGCTAAATTTCTAGCTGACATACGATTTATCTCTTCATGATCACGTATATGTGCAAGTAGATAAATTAACAGAGCCAGTAATGTTTGATTCACTTTAGGAAGATTACGAATTAATCTATGAAGAAAAAACAAAAAACAAAATGTCAATAAATGTACTACTGATTAAATTTGTTAAATAAGAAATTATTATTCATATTACAGATAGTGGTTGTTGGAAATCAGTTGAAAAGGTTGAACTGAAGTTTTGTGCTAGTTGACACAACTTGAGGGAAAAGTTGTTGTTGTTAGTGAATTCGACAACTCAATCATTTAGTTTCATATTACGAGATGGTTTAACGAAATGTAGAATCTGGTCGATATGAGCATCGGCTGAATTTGTTGTACCATTTTAGTGTGGTGTGTGTTACTTATACGAACGATATAAGTAGTATAAGAAGGGACGTGAAAGAAGAAGTCTCACGGTCACAAGAGGAAAACGGAAAGCAAATGGAGCAAAATCAAGAAGTAAATGGAGTAGTACCAACAGGAATGGCAGAAGGCTGGAGTGTTGGAAGTCACGACTCAAAGATGGTATGCAAATAGAGTGTTCAATGTAATGTTTTCGTTTTTAATTGACTAAGAGTGAAAATTAGCTTAATTCAATCTACCGCGCCTGCCTCAGTCTTCTCATTAGCACAGCATGTGGAAATTGTCATGATAAACACCACAGTAAGACTAGTAACATTATCAGCAGTAGGAATAGCTTTAGAAAGTATATTAAGCTACTGGAACTCAAGATATCAAGAAAGATTCTTAGCCATGTTATTTCAGCGTCCATAACCAGTAGTTACACAATAGTTGTAAGTACTCCAATCGGATGATGCATACCTATCTATATGACTCAGTTCATTATACGATTGTTTTATGAACTGATTGCATCCATGTCTTGGGTTTGGATGTCTTTAGTTTTCTCCATCCTAATTCTACACTGGCAAGCATCACTCATCGACATAGGAAGTTTTTGGGCATGTGTGAACCATGTACCTTACGCCTAATTTGAGCATTACCTAGTCGGTGTTCCAAAAATATACGAACAATACTTCAAAAGTTTCTATAATCGAATACCAGTAACCTACATATGTTCTCTACTTTTAATGGTCGTATTTTTCACTTATTTAGTAGAACAGAATGAACTACTTCACACCGTAACTCGTCCTTTAGTTGACAGATGAACACTTTATCTATGCCACATTATAACTAAGTTAATGAGGATGCGATTAACTTCCCATGGGACTAATCTCTACTTAAGTTGAATAAAGCTAATATCATGTCTTTCCTAGTGCTAAGTGATAATCAAATACCATCACTTATTATACAATATTCAATATCAAAACGTCAAGACAATTTTTTATTATTGACAACAACTAATGCAAAGTTGAAGAATTATTATTCAAAACTAGAAAAATATAGGCTAACTGAGCTACATTGTGTGATTGCTCATTCTCATCGGCTTTTGTTATAAATGAACAAAACACTGATGTGATTTGATTATGTGGAGAAATCAAAAACAACAGATAGGGTTGTGGAGATTGTTATTTTTTCATTGAAATCATACGTCGATCATTGTTGGACCACCACTAGAAACGTGGAAAAACTGGACAGCTGTCAAATAGGAGTATGGGACTTATCAACCCTGTCAGATATAGGTAGTTATCTACGGAATACAATGTGTGAGGTTGCAGAATACCAAGAGTTGATTAATGTTAGACGCTGACATCGATGAATGCCTACTCAGTGGTCTAAAGGTTAAGTGTTTGCGTGCTAGGGTCATGGATGCATACTGCTGACGAGTCCCATACTAGGACGAAACGGCCGTCCAGTGCTTGCATGTTTTTATTGGTGGAATAATAATGACTGATTCATTATCGCAATGAAAAAGATAATTAGGCTCTGGAAAGAAATTAAAATGATCTATATTCATACACTAATTTGGGTATATTTTTTATCAGTACTAACCAATCGTCATATTCCAATAATCAATAACTCATTGTTTAATGACAGTCTACAAATATCGTAAGATGAACCTGTTATAACAGATAACTGTAACAAATTTACTGAGTTGTATGATTCCTCCTTCCTGTCAACATTCACACTTAAGTTGGATACGTATGAGTAGGGCTTTTTTTTATGCCTGTCACCCCCAATGGAGCATAGGCCGCTGATCAGTGTTCTCCAACCTACTCTGTCCTTGGCTTCGCTTTCCAGTTCTGTCCAATTTTTGTTCATTTTTCTCATATCTTTCTCTATTTCTCAACATAATGAATTTCTTAGCCTTGCTCTTTTCCTTTGACCTTGGGGGTTCCAAGTGAGGGCTTGTCTCGTGACGCAGTTGGGTGCTTTCCGCTATGTGCGTACTATGCATTTCCACCGCTTCTTCCTGATTTCCACCTCCACTGGAATCGGGTTTGTTCTCTCCCACAGTAGGTTGTTGCTGATGGTTTCTGGCCAACGGATCCGAATTATTATGAGTAGGGTGTCAAAGTAAAAATTAATTGGCCTTTCTCGTCAGCACAGGGATCCTGTTAGTTCTTCAATGTAGCCAGGAATGAAGTTCGCTCTGAGGTTCAACTGTGTTCGATGGGTCTCCCTCCTCAACACTAAGTCTCCACAACCTTGAGTTATCAAGATCATCCTTCTGTCCTCATCTTTTATTGTGGTCAGTAAATTCAATTTACATGAGTCACTCGTCCACTTCACTTCATACGTGTCTGTGCCTGTTCATTTCACTACAATTCGATTTTGTTCATCAGTGGTCTGGAACTGCAGAAGTCCAACGGTCACCATGATGACATGGTTTACAATACCCATAAATAGATTTTTTGACGTCGGCCTATAAATGAGTCTATTTAGCCTACTTCATATAGAAGACTGACACCCATCTGAAGCCCTTCTAAGGGTTCTGTCAGTCACAAGTCCGGATAATGGAGGAGGACTGGGTTAGGAACTATACCTTGTGAAAAATAATCCTGCCTAAAATAGAATTCTACCACAACTCACAAAACTAAGATTATCCGAATACATTATTCATACAACAATTATAGAATAATAACTGAAAAATTCATTTGAAAACACAAAGAAAATATTCAAGATTATTATATCTTATCCTAACACAGTTATTGTATTTGTAACCATGAATCGATCAATGTTAGACCAGTGAAGTTCAAACCCGTCCGGATGTATACAGTGTATGAGGTTGCGCAACTCCGTGAATTTGATCATGTTAGACATTAAAACCGTTAGATACCGCCTCAGTGGTCTAACGGTTGGGGCGTTCACGCACAATACCAGAGGTCCTGGGTTCGAATCCTGCGGGTGAAGGAGTCGTGGATGTGCACTGCTGATGAGTCACATACCAGAACTTGACGTCCGTCTTTCAGTGATTCCAGATTTCTAATCGTGGTCTAACATTGATCGATTCATGGTTACAAATAAAGCTTAACAATCTTTACAACAACCACGCAATACAGTTATTGTAATCACATCATTAATAAATTTACTAACTTTTCAAGAACTTGTAAACGTTCTGTTGCCGAGTTGATTTCAGTTAAACTAGCCCATTCATCCCAATTCGAATCGATTAACAAATGACCAGGTATTTCACAGAAAAATCTCTATTATATTTTAAGAGAAAAAATAAAATCCAATCAAAGAAATCTACTTATTTTAAAATATATTTTGTTTTACTTCAATTAAACGTTTATTTAGTTTCTGTCCATGCTTCGATGATAAATTGTTAGGATAATCACCAATTATCCTAAGAGGATTATTTGTAAGTTTGATTCTATTGGTAATTCTAATTGGTCATCCTAACTATCAATGTCACATATTTCAAATGTTGTTTCTTATTCGACCTAACTATATGAATATGCATTATCTGTAACGTTTTATAACCCGGATCCTTAGTCTCTTCTGGACTCGGACCTCTTGCTTTCTGTATGCTTGTAGAATACAGGTTATACTTCATATCAAGGCTTCTTCTTTTATTCAATGGGGGTGGTTTGGGACGCTCGGATTAGAGTAGCTTGTCATGTAGCCGGATCATCGATACTCGCCCTCCTTTTCCAAATAAGGTAAACTCGTAATAGTTCAAGCATATCAAATGACGTTGTCACGAGCATGCGTAACATAAAGAAATCACCAGTTCTTTGTTTAATGTATAAATAATGGTCATATTCTCGTCGATGCCATTTCTGTTTTCTAATCCAATGTCCTAGTTTGAACGGTAAGCGTTATTTTTCTTCATTCGTTTTGTAAGTTACAGTTTTATGTGTGTGTGTCTTAATTGAATCAGACTAAATCAGGAACAGATCAGAAATACAGTTCCAAATAAATTGTTTTCTCACTCTCTGTTAGTCAAAGTAATCAGCTCTCTTAGGTCAGTGATGGGATAGTTTATCTTCTCTTTGTCCTCAAGACAATTATTCAGTTATCAAATCGAATTCATATGTCATGAGTCTCGAGGTTGATGAGCTGAGTAACCGATTACGTCAGGACCGTAAACTAGATCCAGAAAAAAACTCTCTGTGTGTGTTTATTAGGAATAGACTAGTGAGGTTGACAACAAATTTCAAGGTCGTGTTTATTATGGCTTAATCTCAACTGGGGTAGTAGCATTAACAACTAGGGAAATTTCGGATGGCTGTTTTGTCGAAGTATGGGATTTATCCAACCTTGAACTTGCAAGGTGTTGCAGAGAGCACTAGAAAGCATTCTTTCACTCGACTGGTAACCAACAGTAAGTAGTCTCAACATCAATTTATTCGTAATATAGAATAAAAATCAAACAACAAAAATATTGGTGATTACTGTTTCAATTCCAACATGTTCAAGGATGAGTCAGACGTTTAGTACTTTGATGTTTTCATTGATACCGCAATTAAGGTCAATCTGTGACGATCCTAATGTAGTACATAGACTTTTATTTATCATCAATCAATCATTGTTAGACCACCATTAGAAACCTGGCAGCACTGGACGGCTATCAACAGAGCTTATCCATGACTCTTGCGCCTCATAGGATTCGAACCCTGCAAACGCCCAACCGCTGGACCACTGGGCTGGCATCCAACGGTGTTCATGTCTAACTCTGATCAATCTAGAGATTTTGCGCGACGTCACCCATTTGGCTGTGGTAGTTACTGACTACGCCCAACAGGGTTCAACTCCACTGGTTACATCTCACTAGAACTCTAAGAATTTCTTCACGAAGCTAGTCACCAGTGAGCACATTTTACGATTTTTCCAACTAGAGATATGGGGATTAGTGTTTTTTTTATATCGAGCCAACAAAGCTAGTCTCAGCCTTCGGACAAATTAATTTATCCATTATTTTCGAATTAGCATTCATACATCACTCTGTTTTGTTGTTTTTTTTTAGGGCAGCGTTTCGGAGGTTTGTGTTTTTTACACATTTGAAATCATCAATCAATCATTGTTAGACCACCATTAGAAACCTGGGAGCACTGGACGGCCGTTTCGTCCTGGTATGGGACTCATCAGCAGTTCTATTTGGTGTGTGTGCAGCTTATTTCGTTTCCTTTTTTTCTATTTATAACTACTAAGCCATGATTCATCTCATTGACTTGGTTCACCAGCCTTCTCCATTTTTGCTTCGCTTCTCATGTACGCTTTTCATTCTCATATTTGTTTGTATAAATGATTGACTGAAATAAGCTCATCCAACTGAATCCTTACTTTACCGTAGTCGCACAAACGGCAGTTCGCCTAATTATGATATACAGAAATTGAAGTAAAGATTTATTTTTTAAGCATATTCGACTGTAGGTCTAAACTTGATCGTTGGCCACTAAAAGTTGGTGAGGCCTACTTAGAGTCTAAACCCTAACCGCAAAATCATCCAAAAGAGCACAATGGAGTACATACATTAACAATTCATTAACTGTAACTCACTTTCAATACACATGATGCTAAAATTGGATTACAATTATTCGGTGTAATTGTTTGAATATTTTCATCTACACGTAATCGCATCATCTCAATTTGACTATGAACAGCTGTACGTCGAAATATTCCTTCAACATTGACACCATTATAATAGATAATAGCAAAGAGATTCTATAAAAAAAAAGATTTATGATTGGTCAGTGATTTATTTATTTAATAATAATCAATAGAAAACAAAACGCAAAATCTACTAAGAAGTATAAGTCGGAGTAGGGCTAATTTATGTTAAAAATTGATGCTTAATTGAACAATACTACTGAAAACTAAAAAGTAATAATTTTATTTAGAAGAGAATTTATAAAAAGGTGAAGTGTTTGAAGTATCCTATGAAAAAGTATTTTTTGTTATATGATGATTAGATAATAGAATTAATATATATTCTCATATTATCCTCTCGTTGTGGTCTCTCAGAGTTCCTCATCATCTCTATCTTTCTCTTTCTAAAGTTATCTCACTGAATTATACTTCATGAATCATATCTTCGAACCCCGCACTTTTCCATAACCGCTCATACTTCTACTATCTTTACCACTATGAGATATGAACTGACAGTTACGTCTCTGTGGTATGTCAATCTGGACTGATGTACACATGTACGAAGTTCTACGTTTGCATATTTTAACTTTTGTTCCAGCTTTCTTGTAACCTATAAACTATTGTAATGTATTTTAATGTGTCAGAGTTATTATCAATCAGTTATTTCCTGATTATTTTGTTTTTAAACCCCCCCCCCCAAATATTTAATGAGTTCTATGTAAACATTAGAATTATTCTATTCGTGTTACTGTGTATGGTTAGATAAACCAAGTATATTACTGTATGAGTTTTAAATCATCACCGAATAGTGTATGAAAGAAAATTAATGTTTTCTATTTTAGTCTTTTCAGTGTAAGTGCATTAGAGGGAGGGTGTTTAAAGACCGATAAATGTTTATTGACTAGCTAACCCTAGTGTCGTTTGATGAATAAAAGATCCGTAGATCAATCAGAGTTATACATTAACACCGTTAGATGCCAGCCCAGTGGTTAGGTGTTCGCGCACAATACTGAAGGTCCAGGGTTTGAATCTTGCGAGGTGCAGGAGTCGTGGATGCGCACTGCTGATGAGTCCCATACCAGGACGAAACGGCCGTCCAGTGCTTCCAGGTTTCTAATGGTGGTCTAACAATGATTGATTGATGATTTCAAATGAGTAAAAACACAAGCCTTCAAAAACTCTGCCCGAAAATAAAAGGTCACGGGTGTGATGATAGGTGATAGAAGTCAATAGCCGAATTAGAAAATACAACTATTTAGATACAATTCAACAATATTACTCCGTTTCCGTTTTACGCATAAAATACGCAGCCAATTCATCGTCATTCAAGAATCATTAACAGGTCTTATCGATTACCTTTCCTAGGGTTTGAATCCAGGAGCTTCAGATCTCGAGTTCAGCGTTTGACATTTAAGCCATTCAGTTGGCATCCATTTGTGTACGGTTCTTAGTTTAATCAATTTACGGTGTTGCACAACTATCTGAACTCAGAAACTCAGTTTATGACATATCAACGTTTTAATAAAAAACCTACTGAAAATACAATCTCAGTATGTACACCAACATTGTGGAATGTAGGTATATCTATGTGATTTCTCTAAAATAGGAAGAAATTTGCGCCTTATTTCATCTATACGAACAAACTTGCTAACAAAAAGCTACATTGAGGCGATCCGTACACGATAAAATATAACAACAGAGACTGAGCGTAATACATTCGTATTCAGTCAAAACTTGTTTAAAACCGTAGTAAGAGTTAACTTCATTTATAAAAACATTATTGTATGAATAATTAGATGAAAATTTATGCATAAACGTGAAGTTATTAAAAATTAAACACACGATAATACTGCTATATATGAATCTTAATTTTTGAGTAAAATTGAGTAAAATTAAAATGAAAATTGAGGAAGTTGAAACTTTTGATGGTATTCATTCTAGAATGTTATAATTTATTGCTGTTAGGATATCATCAAATATCCTAAAGAAATTATTTTGTGAGTCCGATTCAATTAGTCAATTCCTATTGGTCAATATTTAAGGTCGTCCTAAACTATCAAGTTCACATACTTTTAAATGTTCTTTCCTATTGGTTAGTATTCACGGTCGACCTAACTGTATAAATATGCATTGTCTGTAAAGTTTTAAGCTCTTCTTCTGTACAAGACCTCATACTTTCTGGGTGCTTGTAGAATACACTTTCTACGCCATATCAAGGCTTCTTCTACTTAGTGAGGGCATAGGACGTTCGAATTCGAGTAGCCTGTCGTGTCGCTGGATCATCGATCCACTCACTGCTTACCGACTAAGGTGAACTTGTAATAGTTTCAAGCATATCAGTTGACGAGCACACCAATTACCTTTATTGAATAATGAATGAGTTAATAAATTTATTGTAGGTAAGCTTTCAATAGACTTATTGCTGTTCTTTAGTTACTGTTAGCTAACTATGTACTGGTTACTGCGCCATTTAGTATGATTGTACTTTTGAGTGTGATTTTTTTATAGTTTGGTTTGCATTTTGGTTAGTAATTTTAAATATTTGATTATATATGAATTTTGATTCATGCCTATATAGTAGAGAAGTGATTTGTTTCATCTCTGCATCTTTTGATTGGGTAGTGGATTAGAGAAGGCTAAAAGAGTACTGTGTTGTGAAGAGGGAAACAATAGACGGTGACAAATAATCGAAGTTTATTTTGGAGACATTAATGTACACAATTCAAAGCCTGCTAAATACCTGTATTCATTTTGTTGCTGTCTTATTCGGTAAATTTGAAGTTTTCGGTTGATGTATGATTGATTATTCATTGTCATATTCTGTTTAATTTCAAAATTATTGGAACTTGAACCTCACTACCGTACTCTATTATTCTACCTTAAATGACTAGTTTAGATATGAGCGTATTTTTCTAAATTCTTATACATTACGATCTCGCAAAGTATGTACTTATTCATATGTCGTGAATTGAATCAGGAGTAAATCGAGTAGTGCTCCAGTCGATTACTTTTCGTTCAATCTCGTTCGCAAACTAGCCTCTGTCAAAGCTCTCTAGTCATAACCAAACTCATGTACTAATTAATAATCTCAAGGTTAACCAAATAGCCTGTTACATCTAAATCTTTAAACTAGATTGTCAGTCAGTCAGTTGCAACGTAGAACTTCGTACGTAAGTACATCAGTTCATGTCGCCATACCACATCAGCACAGAGATATAAGTGTCAATTCAAATCCAATAGTAGAAGAGGTAGTAAAGGTATTAGAAGTAATCGGAGAGGTTAGGATTAGAAAATATTATTCAAGAAGTATGATTCAATGAGAAAAGTTTAAAAAGTCAAAACTAGAAGTGTTGAAGAATCCAGAAGATTAGGATTTCAGAGAACATAAAGAATCAATGCACCGGCGCTATTCCAAACGGCTTTGAGCCATGTCATTCAAAGTCTCTAACCATTGATTATTATCATCTCGCGGACCCCAACCAGGTAGTCGACAATTACCGACATGGCTCAGTCCACTTGTAAATGACTTCATGGATTTCTGCCATGTTTTGGTCTGGCCGCCCTTAACTTTCTTCAAACCTATTCCTACACTACAAAACAAAGCTCGACGAGGCAGTCGGTGGTTAGGCATACGCAACACATGTCCCAACCACTTCAACTGATCAAGTTTCAGCACTTCATCTATTGATCTGCCATTCTTACCTAGCACCCGATTCCTAATAACAGCGTTGCTCACTCGGGTGTCCCACGGTATACGAGCAATGCTTCGAAGACACCTATGATCGAAAACCAATAACCGACGAGTATCTTCTACTCTCATTGGCCATGCTTCACAGCCATAAAGTAAGACAGAGCGAACTGCTGCGCAGTAAACTCGTACTTTAGTCAGCAAACGGATATCTCGCCTACGCCATAAGTGACGCAGGTTGGCAAAAGCCAATCGAGCCTTCTGTATCCGTGCCGAGATTTCGTCAGTCACCAGGCCATCAGCACTGATGAGACTCCCAAGATAAGTGAAGCGGTCTACACGTTCGACCATTACGAGCATTACGACCGATCCATCATCAAATAGAAGATCATTTGTGGTACCAATCATAGAGTACGCAATATTGATTCCAGTCTTTGGTGATATCAAAATCAGTTTTTCTTAAAAAACAAAAATAGTAGAAAAAAAAACCATCTCAAAATAAAGAAAAAAAGAAAATAAGAACACACAAATTTACCACTAACGATTCTGGTAATTGTGAATCAGGCCAACATTGTTCAGGTAGACGTCCAAAAATTTGACCAGATTGCATTTCTTGACTGGTACCACCGATTTGTAATGAACTAGTACTGATTGCAGCACGTAATGGCATAGTAGTACTAGTACTAGTACTAGTTGGTTTTGTCATATTCGTTTTATGATGATGATGATCTAAGAAAATGGTGGATTTCGTCATCATCATCATCATGTTGTTATTATTATCTCGTGTGGCATCATTACGACGATTTCGTGATGTTGCTGCTGCTGCTACTCCTGATGCTAATGATGATTTCGATGTGGAACGTCCACGGTCTTGTTTTACATATTCAGTTGATTTTATCTCTGATTTTGTATTCACTTGTTATTTAGAAATAATAAAAAATTTTTTGATAGAATATATATATATATATATATATATAGACGAAGTAGATTAAAAAATGATCATAGTCATCTATCTTTTGTTTTATGAAAATGAATTGGTTGTGTGTTGTGCGCTACTTATAAGTAGTATATGACGTGAGTGTAAACGTAATGTCTTGCAGCAGAACATGGGGGAAGATTAAGAAAGGAAGAGTGGGAACACAAAAATGGGATTTGTATGAAACGCATGAACAGTGGTGAAATGTCAGACAATGGATTGATGATGGATTGAAGATTTGCAAATTAACGGTTACGATATGGTTTTCCTATTTTACTGAGTAACTCTGTAATTTTCGATAAATACAATTCGGTTGCCCTCACCTGTGGTCTCCGTCACTGCAGTTGTTGAAAGTGTTTAGTTTATTCAAAACATGAATAATAGAATAAAATATTCCATGTATATAGAGTAGGTATTATTGATCTTCAGAGGAGGAATCAATCAAATACATCTTTGGCTAGCTTTTTTGATTATCAAGGTTGGTTATTGTGTCTAAAATAGTGTCACTACACAGAAAATGAGTTTCGTTCTGTTCAAATGTACTTGATACATCTCTGTGTGTTGATGTTCCTCGGTGAGACTTGCTTGAACCCAGTACCTTTCGCTTCAAATGCCAGCGTGGTATACCACTCCTAATGAGTCTCAAGTACAATGTAATGCATATTCTTTACTTCGTTGCTAACCACACTATACATTTGAATTAAAACTTGTGAATAAATGTCCTTATGGAGGTAATCCACACACAATGCACAAATACTTAGTACAATCTTTAATATCAGTAATGACAAAATAAAAGTATTTTACAAATAGTTCCCCTATTTTGTACAAGTAATTTTATTAGTATCATGAATCGATCAATGTTAAACTACCATTGGAAGCCTAGGAGCACTGAACAGATTTTTCGCCCCAGTATAAGACTCATCAACGATGAGTATTCACGACCACCAAACGCGAGAATCCAATCTAGGACATTCGGCAACGCATGCGAACGCTTAATCTCTCCTATAGAAGTATTATTTCCTGACTTTCATCAATCTACCGCATCGCACGACCTCAACCATTTCTTCAAACCGACAGGGTTGAACTCCACTAGTCACTGCTTGTCACTGGAAGTCTAAGAATTTCCTGATGAAGCGCATTTTTAATGATTTTCATTATAGATCTATGGAGATTGTTGAGTTTCACTAAAATCCAGGAATGTATTAGTAATCCAACACTGATCCATTCAAGATTTCAAACTCGACAGTCTTTACAACACTATCATGAAAATAATTCTATCATACAGATAAGTAAATTAGGAAGAGAGGTTATTTCATAAGAAAATTAATGTCTAGTTGAGTAAAAAAAGGAGATTATTAAAAGAAAATGAACAAAATCTTTGAATAACTATTTCATCGCAACATGCAACTCAATTAAAGTCTGCATATATATATATATATATATATATATATATATATATATATATATATTACAACGTAGGACTTCGTATGTAAGTACATCAATTCAGGTTGCCATAGAGCATTAGCACAGAGACACAACTGTCAGTTCGAATTCCATAGCAGCAGAAATAGTGGAAGTATTACCAGTAATGGAGAAGATTAGTGGCCCAAGATATCATTCAAGAAGTCTAATTCAGTGAGATAACTTTGGAAAGATAGAGATTATGAGGAATTCAGAAGATTAGAATATGAGAGAACACAAAAAGTGTATGCATCTGCGCCATTGTAAACAATTTTGAGCCATGTCATTCAAGGTCTATAACTATCGTGTACTATCATCTCGCCGACCCTAACCAGGTAGTTGACACTTACCAATATGACTCAGTCCACTTGTCAGTGACTCTACTGATTTGTGCCATGTTTTGGTTAGGCCGCCTACTCCTACACCACAGAACTTCGCTTATTGATGCAGTTGGTGGTTGGGCATTCGTAACACATGTCTCAACCACTTCAGCTGATGAAGTTTCAATACTTCATCTATTGATCTATCATCCTTACCTAGTACTCACTTAAAATATGGTTGATTTTTCTTTTAATAAAAACTTTAATTAATTTAAAATTCACTAATGATTCTCAGAGATTGTAGCATTTTCAATGATTTATTATTCATCATATTCATCAGAAAAAGTGTTCACAATCACAGTATCATATGACAATCAAGAACTATTGACCGGATATCTTGTCAATGCGTAGCATTCCTACTTAGTATAATACACACATGTGACTGATCTCACTCAGTAGAAATTGAAACTAGAACTTTCAACTCTTGTGATCAACCAAGGACAAATATTTTAGGGTTATGGATGTTGTTGAGTTACACGAATCGATCAATGTTAGATCACCATTAACATTGTTGGGCGCCGGCTCAATGGTTAAATACTGAACGTCCTGAGAGATGCAGGAGTCGTGGATGCGCACTGTTGATGAGTCCCTTGCGGGGATGAAACGGACATCGAGTGCTTCTAAAAGGTTTCTAATACTGATTTCACACTGATCAATTTACGTCTTTGAATGTTTTATGGTAAAAAAAGAAACTCAACTAGTCAATCGATAAAAATATCTTACTTTGATTATGATGATGATGATGCTGGCGTTGTTGTTGTTGTTGTGCCTGATTATCATCAACTGGGAGAGGTTTGTCTGCAGAACGAAGTACAAAACTAATTTTAACTTGATCTCTTGAAACGAGGTAATCATGACTGCTGCTACTATTATTATTATTACTGTCAGTTGTTTTATTCTCGGATGGTGGTGATAAAGAAACGCGTTTGATTAAATCCAACATATCTTTACTGATATGAACATTACTATCTAGATTATGATTTCTGATGATATTACTTATATGAGTAGTAGTATTGTAAGCAGGAAATGTTGCAGTAGTAGTAGTAGTAGCATTTGGTAAGGAATTTGTAGTATTCATTTGTACACTAGACAATGCTATTAAGAATGGATTTTCTGGACCTGTAGACAAGAATTAAAAAATGTTTGATCAATGTATTCAACGGAAGAAACATTTCAATTGTTTGCATATGATATTTGTCATGGATACTATTGAAACTGATGAAGAAGATCGGGACGCTGTTTCGTCCTATTGTAGTACTCTTTAGTATCACACACCAAAAAGATATTAATATGCAATGAAATGAGGACTTTCTACCCTCATGGTAAATATTTAGTCATTAGAATCATTAAGCTGACGCACATGAGTACAGCTTTAACTTTATTCAGTTTGATATGTAGTAGGAAGATCGATCACTGTCGTCTTATAAAAAAGCCATGTTTGAAATCCTACCACTCATAACTTGCCAATAGATTAGCAGTATTGTGATCAATTTAACTATTATTCATAACATCATAGATTTTATATAAACATTATAACATCTGAGGGCTTTTATCTTACAAAGTAAATACTCATAATTCTATTGACAGAAATACTTACTTACTTACTTACGCCTGTTACCCCCAATGGAGCATAGGCCGCCAACCAGTTTTCTCCAACCAACTCTGTCCTGGGCTTCCCTCACCAGTTCTGTCCAATGTTTGTTCATTCCTCTCATATCTTTCTCTATTTCTCGGCGTAATGTATTCCTTGGCCTTCCTCTTTTCTTTTTGCCTTGAGGGTTCCATGTGAGGGCTTGTCTCGTGATGCAGTTAGGTGCTTTCCGCAATGTGTGTCCTATCCACTTCCACCACTTCTTCCTGATTTCCTCCTCCACTGGAATCTGGTTTGTTCTCTACCACAGTACGTTGTTGCTGATGGTGTCTGGCCAACGAATCCAAAGTATTTTGCGTAGACAGCTGTTAATAAACACTTGTATCCTCTGGATGATGGCTTTGGTAGTTCTCCAGGTTTCCGCTCCATACAGTAAAACTGTCTTCACATTTGTATTGAAAATCCTGATTTTGGTTTTGGTTGAAAGTTGTTTGGATTTCCAGATATTTTTCAACTGTAGAAATGCAGCCCTCGCTTTGCCAATCCGTGCCCTCACATCTGCATTGGATCCACCTTGATTGTCGATTATGCTGCCCAAATATGTAAAGGTGTTAACGTCCTCTAAAGTATATCAATCAAGAGTGATTTGATTGGTGCATGTTGTGTTGTATCGGAGAATTTTGCTTTTTCCTTTATGTATGTTGAGACCTACTGCTGCAGAGGCTGCTACTACACTGGTCGTCTTCTCTTGCATTTGTTGTTGAGTGTGCGATAGAAGAGCCAAGTCATCTGCGAAGTCCAGATCGTCCAGCTGCGTCCTAACTGTCCAGTTGATACCGTGCTTCCCTCCAGATGTTGACGTTTTCATAATCCAGTCGATCACCAGGAGAAAGAGAAAGGGTGAGAGTAAGCAACCTTGCCTGACACCGGTCTTCACCTCGAAAGAGTCGGTTAGCTGTCCTCCGTGCACGATTTTGCAGTTGAATCCATCATAAGAATTCCGTATGATGTTAACTATTTTCTCAGGCACCCCGTAGTGTCGAAGAAGAGTCCACAGTGTTTTCCTATCCACGCTGTCAAATGCTTTCTCGTAGTCGATGAAGTTGATGTAGAGTGGTGAGTTCCATTCAATTGATTGTTCCACAATGATCCGTAATGTAGCAATTTGGTCAGTACACGATCGATCCTTCCGAAATCCGGCCTGTTGATCTCGAAGTTGGGCGTCTACGAAGTCCTTCATTCTGTTTAACAATACCCTGTTGAAGACTTTGCCTGGTATTGAAAGAAGAGTGATGCCTCTGTAGTTCTCACACTTGCTGAGATCGCCTTTCTTTGGTATTTTGATCAGGTATCCTTCTTTCCAATCTGATGTTACTTGTTCCTCATCCTAAATCTTCTTGAAGAGAATGTGAAATGTTTTCGCACTTGCTTCTACATCTGCTTTCATTGCCTCTGCTGAAATGTTGTCTGGTCCTGCTGCTTTGCCGTTCCTGATTTGTCTGATGGCCATACTGTAGGTGCGCCAATATTAATTGGGAGGTCCGTGGATGCTGAGTCGATGTTGGGTGTCTTCAGAGGAGCTGGTCGATTTAGGAGTTCCTTCAAGTGCTCTACCCACTTATTTCGCTGTTCTTCAGTGTTGATGATTACTTTGCCTTCCTTGCTTTTCACTGGTCGTTCTGGTTTACGATAGTTCCCGGCGAGCTTCTTTGTAGTTTCGTACAATTGTCTCTATTGACAGAAATATTAGATATTTTTGAAATCATGAATCGATCAATGTTAGACCACCATTAGAAACCTGGAAGCGCTGGACGGCCGTTTCGTCCAGAAGTGCGCATCCAAAATCTGTGACTTAACAATCTTCAAAATCCCATAATGTAAATTACCTGTGCTCATTAGTGACTAGCTTCGTGAGGAATCTTCTCCGAGTTCTAGTGGGAAGACGTGACCAATGAACTTCAACCTGTTCGGGTGTAGACAGTAACTACCGAAGACAGTGTATGAGGTTGCTCAACTCCGTGAATTGATTGAAGTTAGACATTAACACCGTTAGATACCGGCTTAGTGGTCCGATGGTTAGGCGTTCGCCTACAATACCGAAGGTCCTGGGTTCGGACCCTGCGGGGTGCAGCAGTCGTGGGTGCGTACTGCTGAGGTGTCCCATACCAGGACGAAACGGCCGTCTTGCAGTGCTACCACGTTTCTAATGGTGGTCTAACATTGATGGATTCACGGTTTCAAAAATGTGTAACTTAACAATCTTCACAAGCCCATAATAGAAATATTAGAACAAAAAGTATTATCTGATTCATTTAGCTCATAATTTGTTGAAATATTTAGTGTGTAGTATGGTTTTCTGTTTGTACTACATATGTGCTAACTTAGTCATTTAGTATTTCTGCTGTACGTCTATGAAGTCTACTCTTTCTATGTTCCATCACAATCGTCTCTCAAGAAGAGATCACATCTAATGGGAACATCATCTGCCGAGGTCCAGCGAATGTGTTGTCGGCGCAAGTGCATCCACTCTTTGTGTTCTCTCAAATTCTAATCTTCTGAATCCCTCATAGTTTCTATCTTTCTAAAGTTATCTTCGAACCCTGATCTCCATTACTGCTAATACTTCTACTATCGCTACCACTATTGGATTTGAACTGACAGTTGCGTCTCTGTGCCAATGTGGTATGGCAACCTGAACTGATGTACTTACGTACAAAGTTCTGCGTTGTATCTGTCTGTCTATTTGAATGTGTTGTCGGATACAGTGATGATAGTTCGATTGATATTAATCACGTTGAAATGGTCGTTATTTTGTGAATGTTATTTGCAAAATCCAATTATATCGTGCATTATTTAGTGATTCTGTGTGACTAGATTGAAACGTTGAAAAGTGATCAGTCTACAACATGTAGTCATGATATGAAAGGCTAGAGCCTGTCTTGATTCAATTATCTTAACTCTTGAGACTCTATCAGATATTCAGTAACACAAATCCACGGCATCACTAATTATATGGAAGGTACCATGATCTTTTCGAAGAATGACCTTGTTAAGGTTTATAGCCCCGTTCCTGTTGCACTGAAAAACCTGCCGAAAGCAACAATTATCACTCCACTCAGGTTTTTTGGACTTTCATGAATGCCCTCTGGATTAACTAATGCAGCAAGAACCTTCCAGCGATTCATTGACCATGTCATTAGAGAGTTAACAAGAGTATATGCCATATATATGATATATCGGTAGCTAACGACGCTACAGCGGAAGAAAACCTACAACAACTAAGACAGTTATTTACGAAACTCCAAGAACATTGAGTTGATATTAACGTTGAGAAGCATGAATTTAGAAAGGATACACTACAACACCTAGGTCACATGGTAAATTATCAAGGTATCCCTCCAGTACTGGAAGAAGTTGCAGCTATTCGTGATTAACCGTTGCCTGAATCACAAGGAGAGTTACGACGATTCCTGGAGCTAATAAACTATTATAGACAATTCATACCAAACTTGACTGGACACTCTGTCTATCAGCAGAGGCTATACAAGCATTTGAGAACGCTAAGCGAGCGTTAAATGAGAAAACCATGTGAGTACGACGAAAGAGCTAAGCGCTACTAGCCATCAAGACTGACGCATCGAACATAGCAGTGGGCTCCGTACTGAAGCAAGTAGTAAATGGTATGTAGGAATCACTGTCATTTTCCTCAGAGATCGACTCCCACTAAAAAGAGGAACAGTACGTTCGGTAGCGAATTGTTAATGGTTCACATATGATAGTGGGTACCATTTACAGTGTATACAGATCATAATACCTATCACCAAAGTATTAAACACCAAACAGGATAACTATTCGTCAAGGGAAATTCGACAATTAGAATTTATTTCCCAATTCACATTGAGCATACAGTATGACAAAGGCAATAATAACGAACTAGCAGATTCATTATCCAGAACAATGATTATCTCTCTCATCCCATCCGAAATCAATTATCACAAACTAACAGCTAAGCAGACTAAGACATCTTTCTTTATTTACTTGTTCATGAATGTATTTCATTTCACTGCATAGAACAGATGAATGATGGTATTATGCTAAACCAATACGACATTCTGTGTGTAATAGTGATTGGGAACAAAAATGTTAATTTTCATTGAAATTATGAATCGATCATTGTTAGATCACCATCATGGAACCTCAGAGCATTGAACTGCCGTTTCATCCTAGTATGAGACTTATCAGTGGTGCGCATCCACAGCTTCCGTCCACTGGAATCGAACCCAGGACCTACGGTCTGGCGCGCAAACACATAACCTCCAGACCACTGAGCCGGCATCCAAAGACAGTTCCAATACCTCTTGATTTATAATGGTGGCCTAACAACGATTGATTCATAATTTCAATAAAAAACTCAATAATTTTCATAACTGTATGATGGACAAAGGGGTAATTTTATTTAATAAATGTTGTCAAACCAATTCATACTTACCATACATAAGTATTTCACGTTCCTCTCCATTTGTATCCAAATATCGCAGATATAAATCAGCTTTTGTATTATTCTTCATAATAATAATAATAACAGATAATAACAAAGATACATAATATTTTTATGGTTATTAATAATTGTCTTGATATAAAAATTAACTAGTCTCAATAACTCAACCAAAACCAAAATCAGGATTTTCAATACAAATGTCAAGACAGTTCTACTGTATGGAGCGGAAACTTGCAGAACTAAGAAAGGCATCATTCAGAAGATACAAGTATTTATTAACAGTTGTCTACGAAAAATACTTCGTATTCGTTGGCCAGATACGATCAGCAACAGCGAACTGTGCGAGAGAACAAACCAGATTCCAGTGGAGGAGGCAATCAAGAAGAAGCGGTGGAAGTGGATAGGTCACACACTACAAAAGCACCTAACTGCGTCACGAGACAAGCCCTTACATGGAACCCTCAAGGCAAAAGAGAAAGAGGAAGGCCAAAGAATACATTACTCCGAGAAATAGAGAAAGATATGAGAGGAATGAACAAACATTGGACAGAACTGGTGAGGGAAGCCCAGGACAGAGTTGGTTGGCGAAAACTGGTTGGCGGCCTATGCTCCATTGGGTGGGTAACAGGCGTAGGTAAATAAGTAAGTCTTAATAACTCAAAGAATAATTTTCAACAATTGTTAATCATAAGACTGAAAAGTATACTCTTAGAATTCTTATTGACGACTTGTTTGTTGCTTTCCGACTACTATATTTTTTTCATCCTAAACGATTTAGGATAAGGCATGAACTATGAATGAATGGCATCATTTAGTAATTCTAGGTTATTTACGAAATTCTATATGACCGTCGTCTTCTAGAAATTTCTGTCAAAGATTAACCCGTGGTAGCAATGAAAGTAATTGATCTAATCAAAAATGTAATAGGTAACACTTTATTTCCTAGATGTTTCTGAGAAGCTTCTATCGAAAAGTTATTAGTGCTTTGTGTTTCCTATGCTTCTGAGGACCTTATCGAAGGTAAAGTTTATGTCCAGTGATGTAAACTAGTGAAAATACTAAAACGTGATCAGTCATGGATGTGCACTGTTGATGAGTCCCATACCAGGACGAAACAGCCGTCCAGTTCTCCTAGCTTTCTAATGGTGGTCTCACAATGATTGATTGGTGATTTCAATGTGTTAATGTAAATAAGCTTAAACAGTAAACAGGTTATAATAAACTGTGAATAAACTTAGTGTTTGTGTGGCTAGCAGTAAAAGGTCCTGGATGCGAAATTTATTTCTATTTGGAACTTGTTAGTTTGATGTACCTATCAAATCTCATTGGTGATGTTCAAACTTAAAAACTTGAACTTAATACTTTTCGATTCAAACGTGTAGAGCGTTTTACATTGAGTTATTGAGTATAAATAACTACAAAGTAACTATCTACAGACCCTGAATGTTCACAGCGTCAATACTCAAAATTCAAGTGTAGCTTTAATATAAATAAGATATTTACTAACCAATTCATTAAACTGATTATAAACAACTAGGTCTATGTAATTCCTACTTCATACATACACAGAGGAGTTATTTACTGATTTTTCATTGTTATCGTTTATATTAGAAAAATGTTTCACAAATCTTTGTGTTAAATAAAAGAATCCCTACTGTATATGCATTACTCCACTTCAGTTGATTGGCGATATCACCCTACTACTGTTCATTGATAGTGATGTAATATAATGTCAGGAATATAATTTACACTGATGGTTCACAAGTAATGACATAAACATCATCATTGAAAATCTAGAGAGTTATAATTCATCACCCCCATGTGTAAGTCATTGAATGAGTCGAAACAATTCTCTTGTACTAACTAGATATCATAAGTCTATGATGGAGTATATGATCTATTCACATATATATTGAAATCATCAATAAATCAATCATTGTTAGACCGCCTTTAGAAACCTGGAAGCACTAGACGGCCGTCAAGTCCTGGTATGGGACTCATCAGTAGTGAGCATCCACGAATCTAGGACCTTCGGTCTTCCACGCGGACGCCTAACCTCTGGACCAATGGTCCGGCATCTAACTCTGATCAATCTGAAGATTTTGAGTGACCTCACCCATTTGTCTTCGGTAATTACTGCTTACAACCGACAGGGTTGACCTCCATTGGTTACGTCTTCTTACTAGAACTCCGAGAATCTCCTCACCAAACTACTCACTAGTGAGCACATTTTACGAAGGTCTTGGGTTCAAATCCTGCGAAATGCAGGAGTCGTGAATGCACACTGCCACTGATGAGTCCCATACCTGGACGAAACGGTCGTCCACTGCTTCCAGGTTTCTAATGGTGGTCTAACAATGATTGATTGATTGATTGATTGATGATTTCAAATGTGTAAAAACACTTATCTCTATAACTCTAATTGAAAAAAACGCATATATATATACATATACATCGATAATAATCAAACTGAATTCATGAGTTTTTTTTTCAACTTACCACATTAATATTAAGTGCTTCTAATGCTTTCTCTTTCAACTGATCTATTGTCATATGAATAGGAATATTATGATATTTATAGATTACCTTAAAATTAAAAAAAAGAGAATAATTAAAATAATTTATTATTAATTTAAAAAAGATGACAAATCAGAGTAAAGAATAAATTTATTTGTCTTATTCGTACAGAAAAAATAATCTAATCAATCTATAATTTGATTGGTCAACAAAAAATGCACTAATCACAACTGATTTGATCGTTTTTTTTTCTGTGTTGTATTCTTGTAAAACTTTCTTCTTCTTCTTCTCAGGTGTATAAATCAATATCAATTAAGTGCACTTTAAATGAAATTTTCTAGTTGTGAGTTTAAGCTGCTTATCAAACACGAAGCTGAAGAAAGAACTGCTAGAGATATATCTATGCTTAGTTGAACAAATTTCAATAAAAACTTTCTTTGGACTTTAACCATTGAAATTAAAGATAAAAAATAAATATTTATGGTTGTTTTTTTCGAAAATTTAAATCAGTAACATTTTGTTCTTTAAAATAATCAGAAAAATAATAACTACTTATTTTTGTTCAATATCCAATATTACGAATTTGAATTATTTCATTGTCATTAATAAGAGGACTGATTTTTGATCAGTTGCTTATTGGTTTATGTAAATTCTGTTCAAACTGTCATAAGTTTTGTAGACCAGATGTTTTGTGGTTGACAGTAGGCAACAAACAACCTATCGTGGAAGAGAACAAACTATATTCTGTATGCGCACTGCCACTGATGAGTCGCATACCAGGACGAAACGGCCGTCCAATGCTTCCAGGTTTCCAATAGTGGTCTAACAATGATTGATTGATTAATGATTTCAAATGTGTGAAAAGCACTAATCTTCATAACTCTAATTGAAAAAAAACTATATTCTAGCTGAGGAAGAAATTAGGAAAAGCGCTAGCGTTGGATAGGACACACATGGTGGAAATCGCCCAACTACATCACAAGACAAGAGTTAATTTGGAATCCTCAAAGCTAAAGGAAAAGATGAAAACCAGAGAACCAATGTTGATCCTGTTTGTGGCGAAAGGTACTAGGTTCAAGTTCTAAAATGACCATCGCGTTCTCATCTAATAAGCTATTTGAGTCCGGCTGGCTAATAACTACACGAGTAAGAATCCATCTGTACTAAACAAATAACTTATAAAGACAATCGTACCATTCAAGTAATCTAAATATAACTCGCATAGGCTAATGAAAGCAGGTCAAAATGCACTTGTGGATATTGACAATTGCATAGTTCGAATACTCTTACTAATATATAGTTAGGATAATTATTTCCCGACCGTAGCTGCTACCTTGACGTGGTGGTCGGGCTTGCTTATCATGATGACCCAACCGAGCTATACTGGCTGGAACATATGTTCCTGAAGGTTCTACCATGCCAGCAAGGCAGGTCGATTGGAGAACGATGAGACTAAAAGCAGCTACCCAAGGTCGGAGGGCGAAGTCGTACTGCTGGCTGCAGAGGGGTGTGACAGCAGTAAGGTGTTTCCCTCGGACAACCAGCATCTGCAGCGATGCTGCCTTCTCACAATGAAGGAAGGGTTAGAAATGGTCGACCTTAAAAATGTCACACCTCACCCTAACTCACGGATTTCCGTCTCCTTGGGTAAGGGTGCCCACTAAGGGCCTTTAAGAGCGGAGCTAATCCTCAAAAGGCCGTGCGTGACCGGCCTCAAGCAGTCGTCCCTTGGACTCTGCGTTCACTCTCCCAGGTCTCCAAGACCAACACTAATCTATCTTCCTTTTCAGGTTCCTCAAGAAACAGCCTTCCACGGTGTGGGCAGCCGGGAAGTGACAACCGCCCTCATACCCGTAACAGCACGAGAGACCGAATTGGTCAAAATCAAATCCTTCCTACACCCACACATACCTCTCTTCTCTCCACAACTAACTCTACTCACATTCCCTTATCTGACTGCACCGCTAATGCAAACGATGCAAGTTCACGAAACGTCATTCCTGGTCTCTTGAAACCTCATCCTAGACTACATGTTAGAGCATTTAATGTGCGGACATTGTATCAAATAGGGCAAGAGGCATCATTAGCTAGGACTTTAGAATCTCTCTTGCCATCGATGTATGCTGCGTCTCGTAAACAAACGCGCATACAGGATCCTAGTAAAATTATTAATCTGATTTCACCTTGTCAAAATAAAGAAGCCATTCGATTTACTCTTCATGTATCTGACTGAGGATAATTATTTGCCAAAAACTTCAATTAACACATTTATTATAATATACGATCATGTGAACAAACGTTTTCTCTCTTTCCTATCAGTGTACGTGTTTGTAGTGGTAGTACTAGTAGTACTAGAAGTAGTAGTAGGAGTAAGTCATTGATTTGTTACAACATAATGCCAAAAACAAAAGAAACTTTACAACAACAACAATTAACAGGTTACATTTTTTTTCCAGAAAAAAAGTATAATTCAACTCTCTATTATTATAATGTCATGTATCCATGTAAATATAATCAGGCATGTTATCATACTACCAAAAGTATGACAATTATCATATGACACAGAAGACATAAATCTGATATCTTAGTTATTAATTTGGAAGAAAAAAAAGAAATTGTTCACCACAACAATACATTGGTTGTCTTTTCTTGTCTCATAGTTTAGTGATCATAATAATAATATATAACACTACCTGTCATATTGTCTTGGTGTTCAATGGATGTTGAGTAATAACTCCTGTTGAACACTTCATGCCAAGACTTAAATGCTAAGGTTTGATAGAGAGAAAAGTATCACCTGATAATATGAAGCACACACCCATCAACTAATCGCAAACATAATTGAAATTGATGGATACAGTATATTAGTGTAACAACCTGAGTCATACAACAATATGTTACACAAGCTTTCTCTTGTCAGTTTTATTATACATTTCATATATGAGTTCACATCTACAGCTGTAGCTTGGGAATGAACGAAGGGTTAGTCGTGGAGGTAAGAGAGTTATTAAGAGGTATAGGAAAGATTTGATTATAACCGACTTGGTCTCTTATGTTGTTACGGGTATGTGGGCGGATGTCACTTCTCGGTTGCACAAATCGTAAAGAGGTGTTTCTTTAGGGTTAGTGTTGGTCTTGGCGGCATGGGAGCATGATCGCAGAGCCAGAGGGACAGCTACTTGGGGAGGGCCTGTAACAGCCTTTTCATGGGGTTTGAAAGTGTTAGCTCCGCTCTTCAAATGGCCTTACCACTGGAGATGGAAATCCGTAGGGTAAGGTGAGGTGTGACATTTTTAAGGCCAACCATTTCTAAACCCCTCCTTCCTCATGAGAAGGTAGAATCGCTGTAGATGCTGAGGGAAACACCTTATTGCTGCCACACTCCTCTACAATCAACAGTACAACTCCGCCCTCGTAACTTAAATTAGTGCTTTTTGTCTTGCAGTTCTCTAATCGACCTACCTGGTATAGTAGGACCTAAAGGAACAGATATTCCAGCCAATATAACTCGGTTGGGTCATCACGATAGGCAAACCCGACCACCATGTCAAGGTAGAAGCTACCATCGGATTCTGCAGGTGTATATTTGTAATTTCAGTCACTTTTTGATATATTTATATAAGCACATCATTCAGCGCAATAACTGTCCAGCACTCAACATAGTTGAATTTCACCTTTACACACACACAAGTACAACAGTAATGTGACCTCTCAAAATCACGCAATTGACAAGTACATTATTATTATTGTTGTCAATAAAATGATTTATGAATCAATGTACAGGAAAAAAGCATCTTACTTGATGATTTGGAATAATCTGATTGATCACTTTCACATTGATCGATTTACCGGTGAATAGTTGTTGATTTCTTTGGATAGATCTGAATTTAGTGTTGTAATTAGGTTTATTGTTGTTTTTTTCAAGTTTTTGATTGTGATTTATAACATTTGAGCGAAAAGCAAAAAAAAAAGCAGAGCAAATGCATAAATCATATAAAATGAGCAAAATCACGTGATCTAGTCATGTATTATATATGTGTAACATTTCGAATAACTGATTAGACTACAAAATTATATAAGTGCATTCGTGTAAATTACACTGACTGACCAATTGATTATGCTGTAAATGGTCGAGTTTGTTTAAAAGTACTGAATGAATTGTTTCAATCAATTTGACATGTAATTATTAGTCTAAGTAACTGGACAATGCACACTGCTGTTGAGTCTCATATATCGGGGTTGACGGCCGTCCAGTGAGTGCTTCCACGTCTCTAATGGTGATTTAACAATGATTGATTGATGATTGATTCAATGTGTAATAACATTATTCTCCATAAGTCTAATTGAAAAATATTTCAATTCATTGAAACCAAAGACGCACTAAAAAATTTAAATACCTTTTTTATCGGCTTGAAAATACCCCGGTTAGCTTCAAAACCTAGGTGCAGAGTTTACTGTCAACTACTTTGAATTACCTACCATCTCATATCTCAACCTAGTGTACATGACGTCAAGTTACTAAAGCTAATGTTTACTTTAGAATTGGATTAGTATAATTCAATCAACACTAAGAAAGATCTAACATACACATATTTATCATTACCCCACTGGTCTTCGATCATAGGTGTATCCGAAACATTGCTCGTGTATCATGGGACAACCGTATAAGCAATGCTGTCGTTAGGAAACTAGTTCAAGGTAAGGATGACAAATCAATAGATGAAGTGGTTAAACTTCATCAGTTGAGGTGGTTGGGACATGTGTAATGTATGGCTAACCACCGACTGGCACGACGAGTTATGCTTTGTGGTGTAGGAATAGGTTGGAAGTAAGCGAAGTGCGGCCAAACCAAAACATTGCACAAATCCATGAAATCACAGACAAGTGGACTGAGTCATGTTGGCAGGTGTAGGTTATCTGGTTGGGGTCCGTGAGACGAAAGTCACCAATGGTTAGAGACCCTGAGTGACGCGGCTCCAAATCGTTTGCAATGGCGCAGGTGCATCCTTTCTTTGTGTTCTCTCAAACTCTAACCTTCTGGATTCCTCACTGAATTACACTTCTCGAATCATATCTTCGCTCCCTAAGCTTCTCCACTACTGCTAATACTTCTATTATCGCTACCACTCTTGGATTTGAACTGACAGTTGCATCTCTGTACTGATGTGGTGTGGCAACCTGAACTGATGTACTTACGTACGAAGTTCTGCGTTGTATCTGTCTGTCCGTCTGGTCGATTGATTGTCAAAATAAAATTATCTGCTTTCGAAATCATTATGTATTTTAAGAATATTCAAATTCATTATTTCTGTGTGTATATTAAATTATCCTCCTTTTAGTGAACATTCAATAATATTTGAAGATTTATTGAACGTTTTATTGAAAACTTGTCAACGAATTGATTGTGATAGTTTCTGCAAACTTTCTCTCAGAAGTTTCATACAGAACATGTATCCGTGTCGAATTCAACCTACTGGTTAGATGTTGTATTTGAAATAAAATTCTCTTGGAAAAATCACATATTGTTGAGGATGTTAGATCCCAAGAACTCGCTCGATAAATACCTTATTTTGGATTTCACGTTTGCGAACATCGGCTGATCAGTTGACCTTGAGATTTCATTTCCCACCAGGAAAATCCATGGCTGTGATTGGCTGCTGTGTATTTTAGTGTGCTATTTTCGTAACTGTCCCATGGACGTTTCTATGATGAATAAATAAACGAGAGTTGTGTGCTTGGATTCATTGTGTGCTGGCTGGGTGTTTGCAGAATATACTTTATACGCTTACAAAGACTTCTGTCTACAGCTTGGGATTCAAGGTAGCCTATAGCTTCAAACATACCTAGTGACGAACATAACACATATATTTCTCTTTCCGAAATCATGTTACTACCACCAATGGTAGTTTTGTTTAGCAATCTGATAAGCTTAAGAAGTTTCTGTCAAAAGCACGTTTGAAATGAGATCAAGCTAAGTAAGGATAACCGTCCACTAAAAAAAAATTACTGTATGTTCGTTTCCTTGTTTTGTTTTAAAGTTAAAAACCGATGTTTATCATAATTGTATTAGGAGGCAAAAATCCTCTTACGATTAGATTTCTCCAACAATTATCAAAATCATCAATGAGTTTTGCTGATAATCCTCTTAGTATTGTTTAATGAAATATGTACGTACATCAGTTCAAGTTGTCATACCACATTAGCACAGAGACGCAGTTGTCAATGGTAGAGATAGTAGAAGTATTAGCGGTAATGGAGAAATTTAGGGTTCCAAGAGTGACGCATGCTGGCAAAAGCCAATTGAGCTTTCTGTATCCATGCTGAAATTTCGTGAATCACCAAGTGTTCGGCACTGATGACAGTCCCAAGATAAGTGAAGCGGTCTACACGCCCAACTGCTTCACTCCCTATCACTAGTTCAGATGCCGTCGCAAGTCAATCTTGAAGCAACATTTTGCATATTGAGGGGGGAGAACCGCATCCCAAGCATGCTTACATTGTCGCTTAATGCGTTCAGATGACTTTGCATTTTGCTAGTGTCTTCATTGGGCAGAACTATGTCACCGGCATATTCTAAGTCAATCAGAAAATCTCCTGGTAAAAGGTTCACTCTTGGAAATTCAGATGAAGATAATGTTATATCTAGAAGCAGGTCTATGACGGAGTTAAACAAGAATGAACAAAGTGAATAATCCCGACGGAAACCATTCGAAGTAATCAATTACGATGACAGTTCAACATAACTCAACTACTGGTATTCGAGTGGCGAACTTGTATAAAGTTAATGTATTTCTTTGGTACACCTTGTAATGACAGACACTGCCACAGAACCTCACGATCCATAGAGTCAAATGCCACCTTAAGGTCCAGGACGACAACTATTGTAGGATGCCTAAATGTTTGTCTGTGTTCCAGGACCTGTCGTAGTTTAAAAATGTGGTCTATAAAGCTACGCCCAGGTCTGAAACCAGCCTGGTTTTCTCTAGTCTGCTCTTCACGAGCTCTAATTAGGCGTCTAAGGATTATTGAGGCGAACAATTTAGAAACTATTTTAGTTAGACTGATCCTCATTGATTGTCACAAGAGGACTTTTGTCCTTTCTTATAAGTTGGGACAATCAGGGATCGAGACCAGTCAGATAAGATTATTCCCAGTTCCCAGATTCTACCTAAGATCTCAGTCAATTTAACTGTTAAAACTGGACAACCATCCTTAAAAATCTCAGGGATAATCTTATCAGGCCCTGCTGCTCTACCTCGCTTTAGATTTCCTATAGCTTTTCCGATTTCAAAAAGACTTAGAGGAATTATTTCGATTTGTCATTCAGGATGCCTCGAGATCATGGACCATTGAAGTGTGGGTGAAGGTCAGTTGAAGTGATCCCTAAAGTGTTCTGCCCATCGATCCGATCTCCTGGGTTAAGAATGAATGATACGACCAAACGTTTCTGAGATAGTTTCGCTAACAGATGGATTCATAGTTTCCTTGATAAGGCGGAATATTTGTCTATTGTTACTTATCATCGGTGAACGGATTATCGCATATGGAATATTATTTAAAACCAAGGAGCATTGAAAAGCTGTTTCGTTCAAGTATAAAGAGCATAAGACCTTCAGGTCCCCTACCAAACACTTAACTCTCCATTACTTTAAGATGTATCTGAATTTCTGGTAGATTATTATAACCGGTAAAATGTGTGTCAAGCCCACGTACAAATTAAACCGATTAATACTGATTAAAACAATTCATTCAGACATTCAAATTTTAAATCTATATGAAAATTTGCTTTTGGCATTAAAATATGTTGTGTTTTATTTTTAAAAAATCAGCAATCAACTTTAATTTTTCACAAAAAGAATTAAAACAGATAAAATGCAATTCGTTCACATTCCAAACTCTTCTCTTTTTTTGGCATCAACATAGATACTATATTTTTTTCGTTGAATCTAATTAACCTTAACTTTGATGATGATAATGATAATGAGTCTAGTTGAGTTTTGTTTCAACTTCGCTTTAAACTACACACTATTACTACTAATACTACCAAGAGCTAATGTATATATATATATATATATATATATATAACTATGACTCTCTTAAGGTAGCCAAATGCCTCGTCATATGAGGGGCGGATTGCCGAATGCCTGAGCTGGCCTCGGGTTAAGCAATGTGCTGCCTTTGGGAGGGTTGTGGTGGCGGCTACCTCTTCGTGGTCCCGCTAGGCAACGTGGCGGTGGATACATCGCTGCGGCTAAAGTCGCTCCGAACGCTGGGGGTTCCGATCCTTAAGCGTAGGAAAATTCCCGAAAGGGACGTAGTAGGATGATCGAGGGCGGCCCTGGACCCTATGTTCGGGGAAGCGGCCGCAGACATCCTGTACTACTGACGCCGACCCTATGTGGTTGTCCCTTCCATGCTTCACTCGATGTTGTGTGTGAACTGGCGTCGAGGCCCCTTAAACAAGGGTTCCAGTGCTTTAGTGCTGTAAAAGGCATTGAACACCAATGATGTCTGCCCACTACTGTGGGATGAGCCCTGCTTGGCTGAGCGCTTGCGTTTGGTCGAGTTCATGACATCTTCCTCATGGAAGGGTGTACGTTCTAGCTGACCTTGTGGGACAAACTCGATCTCTAGCTTAATGCGGGGTAAGATGGGCCTCGATCGATTGTATCAACGCAAGGCAGTTGGAGGCCAGACGGTTGGAATGGCTGCTGGTTAGTGCACTGCTTGGGTGGCTCGGTAACCTGCTACGGGGTGCCTTGTCCGGAAGGATAAGCCCGCCTTGCTGCCCTCGCCGATTGAGGATTGTGGGCTGTGGTTTGGTAGGTGGGATCTTGTGATTCATAAGTGCCTGTGCAGAGGCCACTGCTCGTGTGCGCGCTTTTTGGATGTCCGATATGTCTGCAGACCAAACCGGACAACATGTATGTACCCGAAAGGGGCAGGGGTGATTACTGACGGCATCAGTGAGAATCCTTGTGGTGTATATCAACGCAGCGATGTGCATGTGCAGCAGGCATGTTGGTTGACCAAGAATATATATATATACATAAAAGGCAAACCAACTTACGCATTGATCATATATCGCCATTTATCACAAAGATGATTATTTGCAAAACGTATTGCCCAATTCTCCATTAATGGATGTCCAATCAATAACAGCCTATCCGTATCATTGTAAACATGATGATCATTTGATAAATGATATGATTTCGTTGTTTTTCTAATGAATTCCGTATCATTTATTGATTGATTACAATAATGTTCCATTGATGAAGGACTACTACTATGCATTAGATCACCGCCATCTTCATCTAGACTAGCAGTTGATATACCAGATGATGATGAGATATTACATTTCATTAAAATATCATTATCAATGTCTGCATGTTTAACATTTAGATTGCATTTATTAGAATGAGTTGATTTTATTGATTCAACCGCTGATGTTGTTGTTGTTGTTCGTGTGTATAATAATAATAATTCATCAAGTTTCATTGTATCACACCATATTTCATAGAATGGTATAATATGGGCTAAATCTGCATTACATACTAATGAATATGAATCTAATGGCCATTGTGTCAAGACAAGATAATCAGAACAAAGAAACATTGTGGATTTTTGTGATTGATGTATAGTTTCTAAATTTAAACATTGTTCAACAGGATAACGTGGTAGCTGAAATAATAATAAATGGAATGAGATAGATCAAATGAAGGATTTTCATCTCAGTTCCTACAAAAGATCATTTACAGTACGAAAAAACTGTTGATAACATATTTATCAGTCAGCAACAACGTAGAACTTCGTACATACGTACGTACATCAGTTCAAGTTGTCCTAACACATTAGCGCAGAGATGCAATGGTCATTTCAAATCTCATAGTAGTAGAGGTAGTAAAAGTATTAGCAATAATCGGAGAGATTAAGGTTCGACGATGTTATTCAAGAAGTAAATCCTAATGAAATAAACTTAAAAAGATAAAGATAAAGGTGATGAAGAATATGTAAAGTTAGAATTTGAGAGCACACAATGAATGAATGCACCTGCGCCATTGCAAACGATTTCGAGACATGTCATTCACAGTCCTAATCATCGATTATAATCATCTAGCTGGCAACTAACCGACATGATTCAGTCCACTTGTCAGTGACTTCATGGATTTGTGCCATGTTTTGATTTGGCCGCCTCTAGCTTTCTTCCAACCTACGCATACATCGCAAAACATAGCTCGTTGAGGCAGTCGGTGGTTAGGTATACGTAACACTGATAAAGTTTCAATATTTCATCGATTGATCTGCCATCCTTATCTAGCACCCGTTTCCTAACGACAGCATTGCTTCTCGGTGGTCCCATGATACCCGAGCAATGCTTCGGAGACACCTATGATCGGAAACAAGCAACCTTCGAATATCTACTCTCACTGGCCATGTTTCACAGCCATAAACGGAGCGAACTACTGCTCAGTACACTTGTCCTTTAGTCAGTGGACGGATATCTCGCCTACGCCATAAGTGATTCAACTTGTCAAAAGCCTATCTAGCTTTCTTTATCCGTTCTGAGATTTTTTCAATCACCAGGCCATCAGACCTAATGAGACTACCGAGATACGTACGGCGGTCAACACGCCCAACCGCTTCACTCCCTATCTCTAGTGCAGGTGCCGATACAAGCCAATCATGAAGCAAAATTTTGCATTTCGACGGGGAGAATTGCATCCCGATCATGCTTTCATTGTTGCTTAGGGTAGTCAGGAGACACACATCTCTAAATTTGATTCATAAGCTGAGTAGTGATGAATCCTAACAAGAGTAGCAGTTTTTTCACGAATGTAGATATGTATCGCTGACTACTTTCAGTTTCAACAACCAGTGTGTAGTGAAAGTATTTAAACACTGAGATAAGGTGACAGCTATTAGCTTTTCACCAGAAACAAAGAATCCAATGACGTCTTGTAGTTTATTAAGAGTTTGCTGAAACTTAATTATATTTAACTAGTACGATGCTTAAAATCGATAAAACAAATGAAACATTACTTTTCGCTTCTACATTTTTGGAAATTTTTAAGATGAAACTACTAATTTACATCACATGCTGATAACATTGACTGACTGAGAGAGAGCGAAAGAGAGCTCGAAACGTTGACTACACCACCATATTGGTTCTACAGTGTTTGTAAAAATATTACTGAATGGATTGATAAAATCAATATGTTACAAGTACGCGGTAGATTAAAAGTAACCTTATTCATCAGGGAACTAATACAAAGATCTCAAAATAATCTAGTTCTATGGTTGCTTTGTTAGGTAATGGTAGTTCTGATGTGTGACAAACTCATCAGTAATTCATATCGCTGCATTGATCTTTGCTGTCGTTTGATTGATTGTTCCGGTTTTTTTCTGTTGGCTAATTTTCATTGTTACATGGTCGAGTTGATCGCCACACAGACTTATCATGTGGTGTGTGCTACTTATACGAACGATATAAGCAGTATAAGAAGGGACATGAAAGAAGAAGTCTCACGGTCACTAGAGGAAAACGGAAAGCAAATAGAGCAAAAGCAAGAAGTAAATGGAGTACCGATAGGAAGTAAAGGAAGCAACAACAGGAATGGAAGAAGAAGGATGGAGTGTTGGAAGTCCTGACTCAAAGACGGTGTGCAAATAGAGTATTCAATGTAATGTTTTCGTTTTTAATTGACTCCGAGTGTAAATTTTCATAATACAATCTTCCTCGCCTGCCTGAGTCTTCTCAATCATGTTACAATTTGGAGGTTTCTGAAAAGTAGGCTTTTGCTGAGTTACTGACTTTCCACCTTCAATCCGATAGGAGGTGTGGAGGATTATTGTCGAAGTATTACGGTATACTAATCCACTGGAGGTCTATCTAGTTCACATAGTAAGAAAATTTTAACCATATCACGTAAAAAATTCATCTTATTTACAATATAATCGCACAGAAAGATTAGTTTCTTTTTTTCTCAATCAAATTGTTTTACTATAATAACATTGTCTTGTCTAGAATTTTTTTACTGATAAGATGTGTGAAAAAAGATCAAAGCAATGAATTTGATTTCCATCTTTCTTATTTGAAAGATAATTAAAATCATAATTGTTGCTTTAAATATGTTGTAGGTCAACGGAATTTTAGGGCTAATATGGTCTACAATATCTTCAATGTTCAATAAATATGTCGTATCCGGCCATTTCAGCCATTTTTTCTGTTTATTTAATAGATGGGTGATGTGTATTATCTGATGCTCTTCTAAGCTTACTGTCTGTCCTAAGCACGGATAAACAAGGAAGGTTGAACATTGGGGTTGGCCACTCAATCCCGTAGAAAACTAAGTTGCTACAAATCGCTAACTAAAACACAAAATTCCAACCGTTTAAACTCCATTCAGGGAGTTGAAAGGTGTTAACTTAGGAGAGTTATAACGTCTCATAATGAAATTCGGGTTTCTTCGTTAGTGAGGATGCTGATTCTCCCTTCTCACAACCATAACAACCACACTGCTGTAATCCAGTCATGAAGAAGAATAAAAGGCCTCATGTCCAATGAAGCACAAAAAGCATCCATAGGATGAAAAGCTAAGCGACCCAGGATCATCAAAGCCTCATTCAAAACAAAGAAGAAGGGAATGACAAACAACATCTTTGTTAGGATATTCATCCAATATCCGAAGAGAATTATTGGTCAATTCCTATTGGTTAATTCCTACTGGTCAATTTTATGGTAGTCCTAGATATCAAGGTCACGCGATCTGATGCTGTTTCTTATTGGTTGTCCTGACTATCAATGTCACTTCAAATGTTGCTTCCTATTGGTCGTCTTAACTGTCAATGTCACACACTTCGATGCTGTTTCTTATTCGACCTAAATGTATAAATACACATTATTTGTAACGTTTTATGACCAGGACCAAGACCCAGTCCCGGATCCCTAATCCGGGATCCTGATTCTCTTCTGGATTCGGACCTCGTGCTTTCTGGATGCCTGTAGAATACAGGTTCTACTTCACATTCAAGTCTTCTTATTTTTACTCAATATGGGGTTTGGGATAATCGGATTTGAGTAGCATATTGTGTCGCCGGATCCTCGATCCTTGCTTTCGTTCTCCGATTAGGTGGACTTGTAATAGTTCAAGTATATCAAGTTGACGTGTTTATGTGCAGGCATAACAATCTTCCAATGCTATGCGCTCATCAACGATAACAATGAAGACAATATTGATCAATTAGATGTGAGGTTGCAGTCAACTGTCAATAAATGCCTAGAAGAGGATTTCACAATTCTGATGTGAGATCTAGACGACAAGGTTGGAATGGACAACACCGGATATAAAGAGATCATTGGATGACGTAGACTAGGAGAAAGGAACGAAAACTGTAAGAGATTCGCAAATCTATGTGCTGTCAACAAACTGATCAAAGACGACACCATATTTCCAAACAAACGCATACACAAATCCACATAGGTTTCACTGGACCATATATTACAGAAAACCAAATCGACCTGATCTGTATGAATAAAAAGTTCAGAACGACCATGGAGGACGTGAAAACTAAGAGAGTAGCTGATATAGCTTCAGATCACCACTTTGTGATGATGAAATCGAAACTAAATAAGCACTGGACAATGAGGTTAACAGCATCACAAAAGTTTAATACGGCCTTTCTTCGGGATACTGGAAAACTCAATGAATTTAAGATAGCTCTCAGCAATAAGTTCCAGGCCTTTTACGACCTACTCAATGGAATGAAAACTACCGTGAAGAACAACTGGAAAGGGATCGAAGAAGCAATGAGTTCGTTATGTCAATAGGCTAGATTCCTTGAAGATCGATTCTGTACTGACCAAGTCGTGACACTACGGATCATTGTGGAACAATCAATTGAATGGAACTCACCAATGGACATCAAATCCATGACTACGAGAAAGCATATACGGCGTGGACAGAATGACTTTTTGGAGGATCCTTTAGAACTATGGCTTGCCTGAGAAGATAGTCAATATCATACGGAATTCCTTTGATGAATTAAACTACAAAACCATGCATGGAATAAAGTTCACAGACTCATTCCAAGTGAAGGTTGGTGTCAGACAAAGTTGCTTACTCTCACCCTTTCTCTCTCTCCCGCTGGTCGATTGGATTATGTAGACGTCAATATCTCAGAGGATGCACGTAATGCAGTAGATAGCTAGGCTACAACTGGACGATTTGGGCTTGTCCGATGACCTGGCTCTTCTATCCCACACACAAAAAAAATGCAGATGAAGGCCAGTGTAGAAACAGCCTCTACAGAAGTGGGTCCAAATATGCACAAGATCCTCGGATACAAGACTACGTGCACCAACCAAATTACACTTGGTGGAGAAGCATTCGAAGATGTGAAAACTCTTATATACCTGTCAGCATCATTGATAAACAAGGTGAAGCTGATGTGGATGTGAAGACGTGAATAAATAAAACAAAGTCTGAAATTCCTCAATTGAACAACGCCAAGCAATAAAAAAGTCACAATTTTCAACATAAATGTCAAGAGAGTTCTACTGTATAGAGCAGAAACCTATATATTGAAAGTTGTCTACTCAAGATACTGAGCGTACGCTGGTCAAACAATATCGGTAACAACCTACTGCGAGAAAGGACAAACCAGATTCCATCTGAGGAAGAAGTTAGGAAAATGTGTTGGACGTGGATTGGACACACGTTGCGGAAATCACTCAAGTGCAACACAAGACAGGGATTTACTTAGAATCCTTAAGGCCGAAAGAAAGAAAGAAGATCAAAGAACACATTAAATTGAGAACTGTAAGCAGAATTTAAAAAAATGAACGGCGATTGGCTAGAACTAGAAAGGAATACCCAGGACAGAAGAGGATGAGGAATGCTGGTTGGAAGTCTATGCTCTGTAACCGATAACGGGCGTGTCTGCATGTCTGCATATAAAACCACATGTGCTTGAATTAAAATAATAATAATAATAATAATGATAAAATTGGTTGTTGACTTCTCTTTTTACTTAAGACAGAGGATAAAAAACGTTTGTGAATACCTGACCAATAGGAGTTTAGCTTGTGTCAGTCCAAGATTAAAGGTGCAAGTGGCATATACAATAGGTTATGTCTAACAAACGAACGAACAGTAGACGGGATATGGGGATAATCAAAGTCACAATTTAGATTGCTGCCTTTACCACCTGACATCCATCAGCGTCACTCAAAGTAACCCTAACAACTCCAGATTCTTAAAATGAAGTGTTTGGTGAAAATTACACTCGAGTATGTAGCATTCATTGAATTTATACAAAGTAGCCAGTTAGTATAATAAAGAACAAACTAGTAAACAAACACAAACTGAAAATCCATATTCAACTTTTTTTTCCTTACTTTAACAATATTTACAATTTCTTCAGCGTAAATTTTCTTCCAATTCGTCGTGTTTTCATTGTTCCCTGCAATTTTCTCACAATCCGGTATAAATGAACGTAAAGAGATTGGAAACCTATGAAAATTTAAACAGAACAACAATAGACAAATTATTTCAGTGAACATAGATAGAGAAGAGGATTTCAAAAAAAAACGATACTTGTTTTGATTTTTGAATATGTTGATGTCAGAGACATGGGTGTGATGAAATATCTGCTTTAAGTTTAAGTTGCCATAAGATTGTGAAGATAGCCAGTTTTCGATAACCCTAAGCCCAACCTTTTTACCTTTCTGCAAACCTACTCGTACACAAGCAAACACAGAATGTTGTCGTAAAGAATACTGGGGTATAATTGATTTTTCGGAGACATACATAAGTTACAAATTTTTGAAACCATGAATCGATCAATGTTAGACCACCATTAGAAACCTGGAAGCACTGGAAGACGGCCGTTTCTTCCTGGTATAGGACTCCTCAGCAGTGCGCATCCATGACTCCTGCACCTCACAAGATTCGAACTCAGGACGTTCGGTATTGTGCGCGAACGCCTAACCATCGAACCACTGAGCCGGTATCTAACGGTGTTATTGATAGCATTTACATGAGAAGCTTCTGGATAGAAATTCACGTGATCGAATGGATTAGATTTAGCCAATCAGCATGCAGCTAACAATACGAGAATTTTCTACCCTGTTCTCCAAGAATCGGTCAGGCGCTGATTGGATAGGAAATTAGCCAATCAGCGCGTAGCAACGTAGTCATGCTTTATTCCATCTATGTCCCACTAACAAGAAGATATTCGTAGGTCGCTGGTTTTCGATCATAGGTGTCTTCGAAGCATTGTCTATGTATCATGGTACAACTGAGTAAGCAATTCTGTCGTTATGAAACGCGTACTCGGTAGGGATGGCAAATCAATCGATGAAGTGGTGGAGCTTCGTCAGTTGAGGTGGTTGGGATATGTGTTGTGTATGTTCAACCACCGACTACCTCGACGAGCGACTTTTTGTGGTGTAAGAGTAGGTTGGAAGAAGGTTAGGGGCGGCCAAACCAAAACATGGCACAAATCCATGAAGTCACTGACAAATGGACTGAGTCATGTTGGTAGATATAGGCTACCTGTTTGGGGTTCGAGAGATGATAGTAACCGATGGTTAAAGACCCTGAATGACTTCGGCGCAGGTGCATTCATGCATTATGTTCTCTCGAATTCTAACCATATGTATTCCTCATCACCTTTATCTTTTTCTTTCTAAGTTTATTTCACTAGATTCTACTTCTTGAATATAGTATATTCGAACCCTCACCTCTTCGATTACTGCTAATACTTTTGCTACCTCTACTACTATGGGATTTGAACTGACCATGGTGTCTCTGTACTAATGTGGTATGGCAACTTGAACTGATGTACGTACGTACTTAAGTACGAAGTTATTGATTGATTGAATGATATGCACCAAGATAATCAGTTCAAGAAAAAGAAATCATTAACTGTTACATAATGCTCTTCAGCAAATATTACAGAGTTATTCAGCAAAAATCGGAAAACCATATCGTAAATCGTTCATTTGCAAAATATCAGTTCATCATATCGAACTGGACTGTTCCTGTTGCAAAACATCAATCCATTGTCACTATTCATGATGCGTTTCATACAAATTCCATTGTTTTCTAACTCTTCCTTTCTTGATCTTCCCCCATCTTCTACTGCCAGACATTACGTTGACACTCACGTCATATACTACTTATAAGTAGCTCACACCACACAATTGGATGTATCATACAATATTAGATATTGAATGAATGTAACATTTTCTATAAGCCTATTTATTATTATTACTGAATGAAAATGTTATTGATCTTTTATTATATTTCATGTGAATGAATGATTTTTCGCTGGTGTGTAAATAGTGAGCTTAACAAACGAACCTTGATAACTTGGCTTAATCATGGAAAAATGAAAAAAAAACGTGCAAGCAATAAACGGCAAATACTCATCACGTTTTTTATGATTGATGCTTTTAATAGTTAGTTGATCTAACGTGTGTGTGTGTTTTATACAAGTCACAAATGCTTGTGTTACAACTTTTAGTGATAATCATAGTAGTAGTGTTAGTAGTAGTAGTAGTAGTAGTAGTAGTAGTAGTATCAAGTGGATACTTGTAGTTTTATGACATCTCTCTTACCTGTTATGACCGGTTGTTATACAAGTCATTGTTGACTTTCTCCTGTATGGTACTAATCTATTTGAAATAATAAAAGAATATACTTTTATACTATAAGAAAAATGGGATTGTTTAACAAAAATCGATGCCTGATAGATGCTTGTCTAAACAAATATGACGATTGATGATTGAAAAAAGGTTGAGATGATTCAATGTTGTTTTTGTGTTCATGTTTCATTCGATGTTAAGTTGTTGGCGGTAAGTTTTGAATCATTGAACAAATCCGTCAAAATATCATCTGATGATGATGTCATTGAGTTTCGAGAGTTTAGCGTACACAATACAGATTATCTGAGCGTATTACTGAAATCTAAGTTTAGTGACTATAACTGTTAGTATTTTCAGGCAGATTTTGGAGCTTTGTGTTTTTACACATTTGAAATCATCAATCAATCAATCATTGTTAGACCACCATTAGAAACCTGGAAGCACTGGACGGCCGTCAAGTCCTGGTATGGAACTCATCAGCAGTGTGCATCCACGACTCCTGCTCCTCGCAGGATTAGAAAACGGGACCTTCGGTATTGTGCGCGAACGCCTAACCATCGGACCACTGGATCGGCATCCAACGGTGTTAATGTCTAACTCTGATTGATCTACGGATTTTGCGCGACCTCACTCATTTGGTTTTGGTAGTTACTGCCTACCCCCGACAAGTTTAAACTCCACTGGTCACGTCTTCTCAACTAGAACACCGAGAATTTCCTCGCGTAGCTAGTCGCTAGTGAGAACTGTTACGATATTTTCAGGTAGAAGTGCGCACTGCTGATGAGTCCCACACCAGGACGAAACGGCCGTCCAGTGCTTCCAGGTTTCTAATGGTGGTCTAAAAATGATTGATTGATGATTTCAAATGTACAAGAGTATTCCATAAAAAACACTGTTCTACAAAATGAAGCCAAACATTTTTGTTCATCTTAATTATATTGGCTTGTGGTGGCCAATGTATCACTAGCTTCGTGACAGTTGACATTCAACGTGCTCTTAGTATTCGTAATTCGCTCGTCTAGGCAATCGTCACTAAAATAGCGCCTGACGGTTATAAGTCACAAGGCAAATACGAAGTGTTGAATTCGTTTTTTTTTGCACACCAAAAAATGGAATAGCAGACCACAAGTGAACAGACTAGTAACACTAGCGAGTGGATTAATAAGATCAGAATGTTCGTATATATACATAGGAAGATGGCTGAGTCATCTAAATAAGAGGTTAAGAGGTTAACATTAAAGCAAGTAGGATGGATATTTGTGTATGCGTTAAGCAATGCTCAGTCGTATCAGCTCATACAAACCAGACAATACTAAAAACCGATGGTACACAGAAGTTGTTGCTATGCCAATGGCTTGGTTAAATAAGTTAATCGAAAGGCTTAATCAAATTAACAGTGCTCATTAGTGACTAGATTCGTGAGAAAATTCTCGGAGTTCAAGTTGAGAAGACGTGACCAATGGAGTTCAACCATGTCGGGTGTAGGCAGTAACTACCAAAGACAAATGGGTGAGGTCGCGCTAAATCCACAGATCAATCAGAGTTACACATTAACACTGTTGGATGCCGATCCAGTGGTCCGATGGTTAGGCGTTCGCGCACAATACCGAGGGTCCCGTGTTCGAATCCTGCGAGGAGCAGGAGTCGTGGATGCTTACTGCTGACGAGTCCCACACCAGGACGAAATGGCCGTCTTGAAGTGCTCCCAGGTTCCTTATGGTGGTCTAACAATGATTGACTGAAGATTTCAAATGTGTAAAAACACAAACCTCCAAAACTCTGCCCCAAAATTAAATATGAGCGAACTCAAATTTATGCGGAGGCACTACGATCTATTGACTTCACCTTTCGAATAAGGATGAGACATTCAAAAAAACGAGCTAGACACTCATCAAAGTCACAACATTTATTTAAAACAGAACACAATCTATCTAACATAGATCTTTTTTAGTGTAAGTGATGCGAAATCATTAGAACACATACTTAAAATTAGAATTATTAAACTTAAGGATAAGCGTTAAAATGAACAGTAAATTTCGGATTTCCGAATTAGCATTTAGCGTGGAGACAGAATGTAAAAGATATTCGTAGGTTACTGGTTTTCGATCATAGGTGTCTTCGAAGCATTGCTCGTATATCCTGGGACACCCGAGTGAGCAAAGCTGTTATTAGGAAACGGGTGCTAGGTAGGAATGGCAGATCAATAGATGAAGTAATGAAACTTCATCAGTTGAGGTGGTTGGGACATGTGTTGCATATACCCAACCACCGACTGCCTCGACGAGCTATGTTTTGTAGTGTAGGGATAGGTTGGAAGAAAGCTAGGGGCGGCCAAACCAAAACATGGCAGAAATTCATGAAGTCATTGACGAGTGGACTTAGTCATGTCGGTAATTGTCGACTACCTGGTTGGGGTCCACGAGATGATAATAATCAATGGTTAGAGACCTTCAATGACATAGCTCAAAATCGCTTGCAATGGCGCCGGTGTATTTATTCTTTGTGTTCTCTCAAATCCTAATCTTCTGGATTCTTCAACACCTCTAGTTGTGACTCTCTAAACTTTTCTCATTGAATCATATCTTCTAATCCTAACCTCTCTGCTTACTTCTAATACTCTTACTACCTCTACTACTATTAGATTTGAATTGACAATTACATCTCTGTGCTAATGTGGTATGGCAACATGAACTAATGTACTTACGTAGGAAGTTCTACGTTGCATCTGACTGACTGACTGGGGAGACAGAATATAGATCAACCATAACATCTGATCCAAATCCTAAACTCTAATCTTTATCCTAACAAGTAAACTTCACATTCTAATCTTCAAAACATATTATAAATCATCCTTTCTCATAGATTGTGAATCAGTTTATTTAGAAAGAGTCCTTGAAGATTACAGCCCTGATTCTTTCAGTTCAACTGTTATCAGAGATTTATTTTTTTTAACAGTACTAATCATTTTCATGAGTAAATTGCAAAAAACAACAAATTGATTTGTCAATAAATCAACTGTGCATATAAATATATAAAAAGAGCGCGAAAAATTCCATTTCAGTGACATAGTTCAGAATATGTGTATATATATATATATACATGTATATATAAATAAGAGTTGAAAAAAAACCACCATTGACATCATCGTCATCATCATCATCATCGCGATTATTATCGATTAATCAAAAGTAATAAATCATGAAAGCATATAATAGAAAATCTATCATTTTTTTTTTTAGAAAAAACAATAATAACAACTTTTATTTACTTTCTATCGGTTGAGGAGGCATTTTTAAAAATTACAGCACTCAACGTTGGGGTAAATGACGATTCATCTTCGTCTACCTGTTAAAAATTAAATTAAATTAAATTACAATAAGTTAGATTAGATTAGATTAGATTAATTAATCAAATTTACAAAGTGTTCATCTTCTTTTTTTCAAAGAAACAGTTTTCATTGTTTTTTTTCAAACATAATCTTTGACGTCAATAATGACGATTATAATAATAGACGAATAGTAAAGTAATATAATTGTGCATTTCTTAGAATAACTGCATACTAATTTTTTTTTGTTTTCAGACTTTTTTCTTCAGTCAATCACTATTAGTCAGTAGTTGTTAAGTTGAAAAAAAACTCCTGTTGAACTGAATAGTGTAGAGAGACCGTTATATCGCATGATTAGTTTGAGTAGACGTTTCTTCACACTAACAGTTTCGATTCTTCATTGAGAGGTTTATAAAGATGGTAGTTTTTACCTTGAAAGCATGAATGAATCATTGTTAGACTGTTGGGGATGTTAGATCCCCAAAATTCGCTTGATAATGCCGTATTTTGGTTTTCACGTTTTGCCAGCATGGGCTGATCAGATGACCTTGAGATTTCAATTCCCACCACGAAAATCCATGGCTATGATTGGCTGCTGTGTATTTTAGTGTGCTATTTTCTTAACTGTCTCAAGGACGTTTCTATGTTGCATAAATAACCGATTGTTGTATGCTTGATTGTACTGTGATTGCTGGGTGTTTGTAGAATATACTTTCTACACTTACAAAGCCTTTTATTTCGACTTTGGGTATTCAAGGTAGCCTACCTGGACGTTGGTAAAAGTCTCGTTCGCGTTTATCGACTAAGGTAAACTCGTAATAGCCTCAAGCATACTAAGTGACGAACTTATCACAGACCACACCCCGTTAGAAACCTGGAAGCAGTGGACGGCCGTCAAGTCCTGGTATGGGACCCATCAGCAGCGCGTATCCACGACTCCTGTAACTCGCAGGGTTCGAACCTAGCACCTTAAGGCCTTGAACACGAACACCTAAACTCCGGACCACTAGGTGTTAATGTCTAACTCTGATCCATCTATCGATATTACCCGGCCTCACCCATTTGTAACGTGACCAGTGGAGTTCAACCCCGTCGGGTGTAGACAGAAACTATCGAAGACAATGGGTAAGGTTGCCTAAGAACCCTTAGATGAATAACAGTTAGACAATAAAATGGCTGGATGCCGGCGTCTAGAGTTTCAGAGGTTGGGAGTTCGCGCGCAAGACCAAAGGCCCTGGTTTTGAATCCTGTGAGTTGCAGGAGTCGTGGATGCGCACCGCTGATGAGTCCCATACGAAGATTTGACGGCTGTTCAGTGCTTCCAGCTTTCTTATGTAGTGGTCTAACAACGATTCATTCATGATTTCAAGTTAAAACTAATAGTTTCATCTTGATACATGGCTACAATTAGGTTGTTTTATATAGAAAATTCATCATCCCTGTACTATACTTTGATCATTTAATCTTTGTTTACAGTTCGAAAAAAGAACATTCTATTCAGATTAGTTGAAATAAACAAATGAACAAATCATACGATACAATTTCTACACTTAACAAATGAACTTCAAACAGATACTTTTAAAAAACTAGGTCTCATTGTAATAAAATCTAAGTTAATTAGTTACTGGTGGTGATTGGTGACTCCGTTTTACAAACTCATATGTTGTTCTTTTTATCAACTCATCTCTAATTGGTACAATTCAGACATTCAGAATTGCGAACAGACTAAAGTTAGACTTGGATATGATGGAATGTCAGTCTAGTCGATGCTAGAAGAGAGACTTGAAGATTCTAAGTTCAATCCTAAGTGAAGTTGTGAATATACAGTGTCAGTGACATCTTAATACTACTAATCAATATTTCTCCTCGTTGTCATCATGTTTATGGAGTAGAGTTTTCAATGAATTAACGGATCAATTTTTGTTTGTTAAAAGGAGAGAATGTTGGTGAATCGATGACGTTATTCAGTCACAACTCTTCATGAGGCTAAATTATTGGCATATGCAACCCCCTGCCCACCAAATTGAACTGATATCGAAAAACAAGACAATAAAACCAGTGTATGCATTCGGGATTTACATGTTACATGTCTTCATCATTATATCATTTCTACTATAAATAATGAATGAGATCGGTGCTGATCGATTTCAGTAAGTACAATTATTACTGTCTATTTAATACTTACTTGTCTAGATAATGATTCTTTTGATTCGATTGTAGAGATTGCTCGACGAATTAATTTTTGAATAAGATCCATCTCTCGTCTATCCCATGAACCTCCAACCATTTGTGTTTCATCATAACGTTGTTCACTACATGTTCGTTTTAGGATTTTATGCGAATTGATTGAATTATTTTCAAGACGTGCTCGACGTGATCGGTAATCAGCCGGCTGTCTTACTGGTGAATAACTACGACTTGGTAAAGTATCACTGATGAGTAGATTCTCTAACCAAGATTCAGCTAGATATAATTCTTTCAGGTAGTCTGTTATTCGATAAAACTTTTGAGAGAGAAAAAAATATTATTGAACAGGTTTTCATTATAAGAAATAAAATTTAGTTTAGTCATAAAATGTTAATGTAAGTTAAAAGTTTTCCAATGGGAGTAAATTGTGATAAAATAAACGGAAAGGTTACTGATACGCGAAAACTATGAACTGGGAGTTATGAAAGTTGAAGAGCTACTTTTGAGTGAATTGCTCTATTCAATTACATTTATGGAGATTAGTGTTTTTACACATTGGAATCATCAATTGATCATTGTTTAACCACTCCATTAGAAATCTGGAAGAACTGGACGGCCGTTTCGTCCTTGTATGGGACTCATCAGCAGTGCGCATCCATGACCCCTGCACTTCGCAACATTCGAACCCGGGACCTTCGGTCCTGCGCGCAATCGCCAAACCTCTGGACCACTGGGTCGGCTTCCAACGGACGTCCAGTTCTTCCAGGTTTCTAATGGAGTGGTTAAACAATGATCAATTGATGATTTCAGTGTGTGAATTACTTTTTATAATTTTTAATGTTAATTTATTAAAAGATTTATGATTGATTACTTTATATTCATCTTTATTGCAAGCTATTTTTTGACTGGTCAACGGTTGTCATATGTGTTAGTGTACATAATATACCGAGTAAGTACTTACTAAAAATGTTACCTAGCTTCATATCCAAAACGGCTTAATTGTTTACGTAGTTTGATCTACGATTTTAGTGTATCGTAGTCGTACATTTCAGGTGGGAAATCACATGAGTATTCTGATTTGCAGAATGAGAGCTTGGAAACTTTGTGTTGGGACTGGTAAACTCAGAATAATAAGAGTAGGTGAAGAATACTTCTTTGACTACCTATACTGGAACAGCAACATTTTTTAAATCAACAGGAAAGGTTAGTCAGTCAGTCATCTACAACGCACAACTTCGTACATAAGTACATCAGTATAATTTGCCATACCAAATTAGCACACAGAGATCGAATTGTCAATTCAAATCCCATATTGGTGAATGTAACAGAAGTATTGGCGGTAATGGAGAAGATTAAGGTCCGAAGATATAATTCAAGAAGTATACTCAAAAAGGAGGGAAGAAGCTGTCATGAGGGACTCAGAAGATTAGAATTTGAGGAGGGGGAAGATAAAGAATGGATTCACCTGCGCCATTGCAAACAATTTTGAGAAATGTCATTCAAAGTTTCGAACCATCGGTTACTATTGTCTCGCAGACCCTAATCAGGTAGTCTACACCTACCAACACGGCCCATTTCACTTGTTAGTGACTTCATGGATTTGGTCTGGCCACATCCAACTTTCTTCCAACCTAGACCTACAGCACAAAACATAGCTCGTTGAGGCAGTGGTTGGCTGGACATGCGTAACACATGTCCCAACTCAACACAAGAAGTACTCAAATAGGTTTACTCACTGAATCCCAAAAAATATGAATCTAAAACTTGCCTCAACATTACTTTCACATTTGACATTTAATAAATCCTCTTAGATGATTGATAGTTTGAAAGTACACCAAAAAATACCGCCTCAAATCTATACTTACTATTGACGTTGATTAAAAGATTTTATAATTATCATTACTAAAACTCAAAGATGAAAACTTACTTAACAACTGTCAAAGTTTTACCATGTTAAGAATAGTCAAAATGTCTTTTTAGTAACCGAAAATATTTGTGTTTTTTTATTGATCTATCAAGTATACTTTTAGTTATTATTTTTCTTTATAGTTTAACTAACCCTCATTCTGACTATCCCCTAATTTTTACAGTTCGGAATTATAGAGTGAGCGATTCTAAGATTGGACTCAGAGTAATATGTAAGAAGGGTAGAGCAGTTAACGAGGTAGTGAATCTTTATTGAATGGGAAGGTTAGGACATGTATTACATATGCCCGTTATATTGACTACCTCAATGAGTGACATAGTGGCATAGTGTCAGCTCATGAAGACTAAACCAAGTAAGTACGTGTACAGACCCACGTTTCTAAATTCCTAACAATTTTTCCAGTTATTTCATTAATTAACAAGTTGTGTCTTGGATGCCTAATACTTCCGATTACAATTATTACTATGACTATCTTATTAAACACACCCGGATTTACCCAGACAATTTTTATTTCACTGTGCTCATCGGGTACAACAAAGTTCAACCGATCTACTCATGTACTATATTCTGCGTTTTATTATTGAATTTTTCGAGTTAGGTGGTAAGTGAATCAAGAATAGTGTAAATTCGAGTCAATTCAAGGAAACTATGGAGAAAATGAATAAAATTCAAATAAAACTACCATGTCAACGACTGATCCTACTTTGATGTTGTTATTCACCGAGATCATTTCAATCTTTTAACAATTAGACAGTAATTTATTCTGATAAGATAGATGTTGGAAATGCAATCTACAACGTATATTTCGTCAAGGAGAAATGTTTCCATTAGAGAGACTGGCCAGTATGAGTGTGTTCAATGTCAACCACGAGAAATACAAACCATAAAGCTTGAATGTTGAATAAACTAGTTAGTTACTTTCGTGAATATAAAAATACTACTACCACTACTACTACTGTAGTGAACGAGAACACAGGTGGGGCAACCCGATTGGATTTAACGAAAATTACAGAGTTATCAGTAAAATCGGAAAACCATATCATAAATCGTTCATTTGCAAAATATCAATTCATCATATCGAACTCGACTGTTCCTGTTGCAAAACATCAATCCATTGTCACTACTATTCATCCGTTTCATACAAATTCCATTGTGTTTTAACTCTTCCTTTCTTGATCTTCCCCCCATCTTCTGCTGCCAGACATTCCGTTGACACTCACGTCATATACTACTTATAAGTAGCTCACACCACAATAGCAGTATTAATTCCTGACTTTCATCAGTCTACCGTATAGCGCGACCTCAACCATTGCTTTATACCCAATAATAATAATCAGAATAACAGTAAACATATGATGCATTTTCTAATTAAAAAAACTCTGTTTATTTCACTCTACTTAATTAATTTCTTTCTATAATCATCAGTGATGCAAAACTGCACGTAGGTGGTGTCAGCAAGCCAGTGTCTACATGGAATGTATGAGTAGAATAATGCAATTTCACGTTGCTAAGTTACTTAGTTTCTTTAAAAATACAAAACAAAACAAAATATTTCTCTTTCCAGAAAAGAAATAAATCTTCTAAAATTTAATTGTTTTGTTTTGTTATTCTTTACAAATTGATTTCTCTCTGTTTATTATTATGACTGCACTTCTGTTGTCATCATCATCAACAGCAACGTTGAATTTTGCACGTAAGTACAGCAGTTCAAGTGGACATACCATATTAGCACTTCTGTAGCTTATTAGACAACTTTAATGATTTATTATACTGGATAGTTAACATCATACAGAATTCTTATGATGGATTCAATTGCGAAATCGTGCACGAGGGACAGCTAACAGACACTCTTTCGAGGTGAACACCGGTGTCAGGCAAGGCTGCTTACTCTCACCCTTTCTCTTTCTCCTGGTCATCCAGCGACTGGATTATGAAGAAGTCAGCATCTGGAGGAAAGCACGGTATCAACTGGACAGTTAGGACGCAGCTGGACGATCTGGACTTCGCAGATGACCTGGCTCTTCTATCGCACGCGCAACGACAAATGCAAGAGAAGACGACCAGTGTAGCAACAGCCTCTGCAGCAGTAGGTCTCAACATACATAAAGGAAAAAGCAAAATTCTCCGATGCAACACAACATGCACCAACCAAATCACTCTTGATGGAGATGTATTGGAGGACGTTAACACCTTTACATATCTGGGCAGCATCATCGACGAGAAAGGTGGATGCGATGCAGATGTGGGGGCGCGGATCGGAAAATCAAGGGCTGCATTCTGGAACTCCAAACAACTTTCAACCAAAACCAAAATCAGGATTTTCAATACAAATGTCAAAACAATTCTACTGTATGGAGCGGAAACTTGGAGAAATACCAAAGCCATCATCCAGAAGATACAAGTGTTTATTAATAGTTGTGTACGCAAAATACTTCAGATTCGTTGGCCAGACACCATCAGCAACAACCTACTGTGGGAGAGAACGAACCCGATTCCAGTGGAGGAGGCAATCAAGAAGAAGCGGTGGAAGTGGATAGGACACACTACGAAAAGCACCTAACTGCGTCACGAGACAAGCCCTCACTTGGAACCCTTAAGGCAAAAGGAAAAGAGTAAGGCCTAGGAAAACATTACGCCGAGAAATAGAGAAAGATATGAGAAGAATGAACAAACATTGGACAGAACTGGTGAGGGAAGCCCAGGACAGAGTTGGTTGGAGAAAACTGGTGGGCGGCCTATGCTCCATTGTAGGTAACAGGCGTAAGTAAGTAAGTAATACAGGATAGATTGATTTACGGTGAACAATAGAATATTGAAAGTGCTTACTGCCTTATTTTGGACATGCCAACTGAATGTGCTGACATTCATGTTTGTATTGATATTAGAGTGTTTGTTTTAATGGAGATAGAAATAACGAACAACAAAACGAATTGTAGTTGTCGTTTTACATCCCATGGTACTGAAATCAATTAGTCAACCATTGGAAACCAGAATGAATTAGACAATTGTTTTGTGCTGGTATAAAATTTACTCATCAGCAGGTAAATGAAGTCAAGACTGATTAAATAATTTGTACGATATCCCTCAATATTTAAAAGGATTCCTGAAATTACTATACCGATCTCTGATTTGTTCGACAATAAATAGATATATATATATCTTCTTTTCATCATAAGCTTTCAATTAACCGATCAACTAATTTTGTGTAATTTACTATCCTTAACCTTTTATCAGTTTACTCTTCACAGTCCCCCTTACTCACAGCCTTTTTAGACTTAACCATGTATAATTGTTATTATTTATTTAACACTGTGGAGTGGTCTCTCATAGTGGAGACTGGCTACTGAATTATGAACTCATGGATAGGACAGAGAGGAAATCTATGATAT